ACAATCCCACCTGCCGTGTTCCACGGTTTGGCTGTCCTGTCTTTGTTGTTGTTTGAAGAAAACATAACTTTAAGAGGGGCTTTATTATCTCCTTGACCCGCACTCCCTTTTTCACCGAGTCTTTGACTTGGCCACATTACTTTCGGGATAGGGTTGATCTTAATCGTTGCTTTTTCCTCTTATTGCTCACTCACTGTTGGAAAATCATTTATCTCAATCGTTGACCGTTTCTCTATTTTTACCTGCTTGCTGCGCTCGCTCACTGACACATTTCATACTCTCGCTTTAAGGTTTTCTTATACGTTGTTTTCTTTTGTGTTTTTATATTTATGATTTATACTGATTGATACCTTCTTCGTACCTTCTATTTTCGTCGTTTGTCTATCACGAGTTACCTTGGGCACCCATTTTTTTTCATACGAACCTGTTGTCAGAGTTTGTGGAGGGATACCCACTCACCATTTGATTGAAAGAGTCAAAAGAAAGGCCGAATCCTTCCCGAAGATGCCTTTCACACGCCGTCTTTCCCAATTCTTTTCCTCATCACCTTCGTTGCCGCTGCCTGAGAAAGACATGCATACCGTTGATATCGATTCTTCTAAGCCTATTTCTTCACCACCTTCTATATCGGAAGAAGTCATTATTACGAGTACGATTACTGAGGAAAACGAGGACAACAAGGAGTCGAGTCATGTATCCGTTGAGCAGTTACCCCAATCAGCCAAAAGACCTCGACGAAAAACGATAAGAAAAATCTTCCGTAGATTCTCTTTTCAGTCACTTCCTAAAGACTCTACACCTGCATCTCGTAACTTATCGCAAGTTCACCATGTCTTTATGGTGGAAACCCCACCGAATTTACCTGCTCTCACAACCACAACTGATGTCCCACCTCTCGACATGCATGAACCAATAGATTACACCAGAATTCAGATCTCCTCCCTTCCTTTTCCTTTTCCCGAACTTGCATCGCCTCTTCGAAAATCTCTCAATGCCGACCAAAAGCTCAATTGCTCCGATTCCGGTTACTTTTCTCTAGCCTGTACCTCTTCATCATCCCTATCGCCTGCCCTTCCATCACTAACTTTACATCTCATCCGCCGCATCAATAAAGCTATACTCTTACTCGAATATCAAGAATTGTTGACTACACGTTTCTCAACGAACTTGGCCTTCTTATTTGGTAAAAAAGAGATGGCAATATGGCGGACAAGAAAGTTGAATGATGATACTAAGGAATTAATAATTATTACATTGACAAAGTTGAGGGAATTGGTTGGAAAAACCATGGTTCATAAGATGGGATTGGTGAGGAGAAGCAGAAGTGTGTTGGGAGAGGCTGTGGAAGCTATTATCTCAAGTCGAAGACGGGATTCTGGTGTGGAGACGGAGACGCCAACTGAGGAAACACCCTCGGAAACCCATTCGGAAACCCCTTTGGAAAGTCCTTCGGAAACAATCGAGCCAGCACTCAGCCCTGAAATTATTGGAACTTCGAGAACCCAGACGAAACTAGAAGTCCAGGCTAAAATGAGAGAAGCTTTACAAATTCTTAGAGATGATATTGGAATGCAAAGGAGATTAGATGAAGTTCTCAGAGCGGGAATCGTAGGGAGTTGTGGGGATGAAAGATTAATGATGGGGTTGCCGAGTAGAAGTGAGAGACTTTGTCTAAGGAGGTTTGTGGGATTTGTGGAGGGAAGAGTGACCGAGCTCGGTGGTGCTTATGCGAGGGTTGAGAAGGCTGTTGGCGGACTAGAAAGATCGGGATACGAAAAAGTGGTGATCAAATAAAGGATCGGAGTTGTAATAAGAGGAAATGGGGGGACAGACAAGCAATATATCTGGAATGTTGATTTCGGGTCAAATGGGAATGAAAATTGTCATTTCGCTTGCCGGCCGATAACGAAATCACATATTTCTGGGGGTCAGTAGGCCATGGAATACCACAGGTCTTGGGCAGAGAATCTCGCTAGGGAGGAGTAAATAGACGAGAAGGAAGAGGCAGGTACTCCTGGTTACACGGAACAGGCGCATGCTTAGAAAGCTTTGAATACTTATGGATGGTTTAGGTAATGATATGGAGTTTAATGAGTGGGATCACTGGGATTGGTCTATAGATACGAAGCGGCGAGTCAATGGTATCTTTGCATATATGGGAGTGGTAGAAGCTGGAAGCGGATGGGATGGGATAGAATTGGAATATTAGAAAATTACAAAGAGCCACTTCTTAACAACAATGGTATATTTTCCAAAAACAATTTGGTGAGCGAGACGGAGGGGCTCACAGTATTTTGTCTTGCGTCATTCTCGTGTCCCAGGTCTATTATCCTTGATCCTCTAAGTGGAGTTCCGATCAGGAGCCACTTCTCGTATTAAGTGAAATGTTTTTCTCCACCCCCTCATTCTCCACTATCCAGAAAGGCTTGGCTACACCGTATGGATAAATGGAAAAGTCATTCTTGACCGGCGCTATGAACTTCTTGTTTTGAACACATCTTTAGTTTCTTGGATTTTAAGAGTGTTGTCGTCAATGGGTAAGTCGCAGGTTCCCACTTGTTCTTTTGAATTTTGGCAATTCTTCACGGCGTGTGTCGATGTTGAGCCGGCAAAATACTCGGGCATGAGAGAAGTTGTGTTGACGTTTTTGTATGCTATCACTGTCGATTCTGAGATTTGTTGATGGGGCATAGTAAGATTTAGAGAAAAAACATATTTTAAGACGATTTTAAGAAGAAACCCCTAATACTCAAGGATAGAATTGCAGAATTTCCTCGTTCGACATGGGTTAGGTCTTGGTAGAACAGAGGTGAGAAGTTCCTTGGATCGTGTCGACGCCAATTCCCTCGGGTTAGGAGCGCAGGAATAGGATGGATTGGTATGGCGTGGTTTTATGCTTGAAGCAAAGAAGCAAGGAGGGAGGACTAAGGAGAGATAATTTGGGTTGATAAATGTCAGTTCATCGAGTCAAATGAACGAATTGTCTGTGTTTTGATCAGTCGATAAAGCTTGGTAACTAAGATTTGAAGGGACTTATTTACTTGAAACAAACACTCTTGCAAGAGGGTTTGTAAATTTTGGAGGGTATATTGTAAGGGTACACTTGAGTACACTACCGTAACTTAGAGAATAGGTGGAGATCATTATAGACTTTAATGACCTCAACGATCAGAAGAGCTTCGAGATCGGGCATCAAGTGCTGTCATGTCTGGAAGACATAGGAGATGACGGTATGGGATTGGACACCATATCAGGTGATAACCAAAGTTTTTATTGATGGTGAAAGTTGTAGCGATAGCAGTACCATTTGTCTAGACAGTAGAAATATACCTGGGAGCTAGTGGTTCCACAGAACCTGTCTTAAGGATTCATCTTTTTCAATATTAAAGATCCATATTGGAGTCAGAGGGTGATAAGTTTTCGAATTCTGGCTCTATTTCATGAGTTTATTGTTTCTCTTGTGCAAAAGTTTGAAGGCTGAGTTTAATGGTGAATGAACTCTATGGACTGATATTGATTCAACGATACATGGCCATTCATAGGAATTAATGCTAGCAAGAGGAAGAGTAAATAAGATGGCCAGTCAATCCAATGAGGTTACTATTCCTTGTTGAATTATAACTTACAAATAGCTCGAAGGCAGTGAATCCCATATTTACATTCACCACCACATGCATACCAAGGTACCCTCTCTGTGTATTCTTCTCGAGCCCCACTAGAACATCAACAAGCAGCGTATATATAAACTGCATTTAATGGGCGTTATGGAGGCAGAAAGAAACTGAATGGAAATATCAGGGGGTGACTATAATTGATGCCCTGCGGAAATTTCATTACGTTGGAGAGCACATTGAGATTGGTCTTGCAGGGAGACAGGTTTTAGAAAAAAGGGAAAGTTGAGGGAACCATGGGAATTTTTACTGTCATTAGTACAAATGATCTATTATTATGACTTAAGTCAAGCACATGGAGTCTATTGCTGTCATTGAATCACTTTGCAGGAGTCAAAATGATGATTGTGAGAAGTTTGAATGAATGAGATCATAGCAAAGGAACTAAGAACCTTGGTACTAATAATTTGTGCGATGAAAGATCTTCAAAGCATCAGAAAAAGTTCTTTGGATATCGGAGGTTTTGCAATAAATACAGTCAAGTTTTATGAGTTGTGGTGTCAAAAGTCTACATAGTGAATACTTGTGTCAATATCCGAAAAAGGAAAGTGGAGAAAGCTCATGGCCTTGTGACATTCACTGCAAAAGCCAATAGTAACAGTGCATGAGTTTTTTCCCTTGATCTTCCCCAGGGTATTCACTATCTAATCTATGAAGTATAAGACAAACAAACATCTTTATTGACTTTCCTATGATATATACCAATATGATATGTCTACAGCAGCTGTTACAGCTAGTGCTGGTGAATAAACAAAAAAAAAGACCATGTAAAGGATGCTGTAACAAGATCTGCAGAAACCAACAGCACTTACTCGAAAGACAGGGCTAAAAAGAACTGAAAAATCTAGCATGGCTAGTCCTTGGGACTTCCCGAGTGGTCAGATTCTATATAGTACGGCATAAAGTTCACCTTAGTGGCTTATAGAAACTCGCTTATCATCAATTAAATAACGGACTTATAATCAGACAGCACCAACGATCACCATTCCTTAACTCAAGAACAATGACATAGCCCAATACCAGGCGAGCACTTGAAATAAGAAATTTTCCCTCCACAAAATTTCACAACAATCATACAAAGGTTTCAGGAAGAATTCTGCCTCCTTCTCGAATTTGATAGCACGTTTCACACAGCTGCGTGAACTGTACATTGATCTTTAAGTACCTTTCGACCATCGGTTGGCTCATGATTGGTTTACATAAGTATTTGGGCTGTCGAACAAAACTTACCCAATTCTGGTAAGTTCCAGGCACTGTCTTTAAATTGTTACTGTAAGAGTCCACTTCTTCCTCTCATTACAGATTTATTCATGACTTCTTCTAACAAACATGCACACAAGCTTGAGATTTCAGGATATAATCGCCATGGTTAAACGGCTTTTCATTGATACTGATGATGTATGGTCGGAGTTAGGGGCGGACTTCAGGGAACTAAGAACCAAACAATGTAAATCACATGCTGGCTCAAGTCCCAATTCTCCCTTGCCAGCTTCTACCCCAAGCCCAACACCGCACCCTGATCCAATCGAAAGCGTTGCTTTCTCGTCGATAATAACGCATACCGATGACACACCTTTAGTCGACCTTTTCGATCTATCAAGGTCCCCCTCTCCACTTTCGACACTCAGCTCTGCCTCTACCGATATCTGCATGTTCGAAGAACCAGCTGAAATAGAGAGTATGATGGCCCCCAAGAACTATGTCATGAATTTTTGTACCATCAGATTCAGCAAGACGTACTATCTAGACTTCCAAATACCCCGGACACATCGCGACCCATACTTCGATCTTACCCAGGACCCAATTTTTTGGCCCGAGTTTTTTTACTACAATCACAACTATAATCACACTAAGAACGCTATTCCCTACATTCGACGCTGTCTCCGCTTGATGTACGAAAAGACTGGGGATGTGAGCAATGTGCTTGCTGCTCTTGTATTTGCTTGGACATACGACGATGATTCAGCAACTGCCGGCTTTTGGGCAAGGCTCTACGAACAGATTATGGCAATGTTGCCTTTCGAAAACGCAGCTGGCCAAGAGATCGTTTACATAGGAGGATTTGAGATGCCAGGCGGTGTAAGGATAGCCTGCTGGAACAAAGCGATGCAGGAGTTCTTCGAAGAGAAAGGTCATTTAGGCGAGTTTGTGTATTTTGCAGTCACTTCTAACCATGGGTTTGAATGGCTTCAAAGAAAGTCGGCAGAGGAAATATTGGAAAGGGAGCAGATGGAGAGTGAATGGGTAGTCGAGTTACCAAGAAACGAATACTATTGTTAAGCAGTTTGGAGGATGATGGGGCTGCGCTTGGATACAATTAGTGTTCAATGTGGTGGAGTATTCAAATATCATGGTAAACGGAATGATGAGAAAAATCACTGAAACACGTGGGTTAGATCATCCGATTTTCATAGTATACTGCTAAGGTCTATATTACTTGCATGACCCGAATCTTCATTGAATTCGATATAAATTTATTTTCGTGATGCTATATTGGGAAGATAAGACGGAACTTTGAACTGGTGCAGGTAAAACAATGTTGAAGTCTCTTCAAAATACAGGTTAGATATACCATGACATATGTATAATGTACGCATCGACAATCAAGCGTCAGCGTGTTTCATTTCAATTCTGCAACTTTATCCCTCCAGTAACCTGTCAACTCTTTTCAGAAGGAAAGATAGAAAACAAGCAGATTAGAGAAGCAGGTGTCCGGTTGTTGATGTTAATAGCGATCTAATTCAACGATCAATTCCGGCTTCAGACACTGGTCTGGTGTTGTTAGGAAAGCCATAGGGGATCGAGCTGGAAAGATACTACTAGTTACTGTATGAAGTACGTAAACAAACTCGGTTTTTGGCATATGAGGTACCCTCACGTGGACAAAGACCAGAACGATTGTGTTTGAGTATGTAGTAAAAAGTTCCAGTCACAACGATCTTGCTCATTAGTGAAATGTAGAGACGATCTGATGTTCATTTGTCCGAATTCTTCGACCGAATGATAAATTACTAAATCTCTCCCCTTCACTCGAGCTCATGGTCCAGAATTCAAAAGGGTGACCTTGATAGCAAATCGGATTACTTGCTTAGTTACCCAGATAGATATCGAGGTGAACATCTAACTAGTCCTCCACCGCTTGGTGGTGGAAAGACATTTGAGATTTGTCTTGCAGGGAAAGCATTCAATGATCAACGGCAATTCATGCATGTAACTGGCATTCATCCGATGTCATAGGTTGTGTTTTGAAAGTCGTCATTAAAGCTCTAGTGGACCGGGTTGCGGTAATATTTGACGTTATATCGAGTTATGTCTAACATGATAAGTGCGGTGTATCGGTGAGCTTATCAAAATTTAGCGCCGGGGAATTTGGCTTAGCCCGTCAATGTTTAAATTTACTTTTGTAGTCACCGAAATACGAAATACTTCAAAAGCTCATAAATTGACAGCCTTTTTCTTTTCTTTGCTATTGCTAGATGTTTTACCTCAAAATTCTATGGTAAGTAGTATAGCGACAAGGGTAGTTACCATGATTGCTTCAAGGGGCTTGGAAGGGCCCGCACAGCAATCGTGAACGGCACACATCTTTCCAGGATAATGTATATCAAAGTCACACAGTTGGCCAGCTTGGTGGAATCCTTCATCCAAGCATTTATCAATTGACAAAGATTCCACTCGGAAAGTTATGCCGATGGATTTTCTTCCCGTTGACCTCAATGTCTTCGTGAAATAGTTGCCATCGTTATCGTGATTTTCCACAAGGGTGGGCGCAGTTTGAGGTTAAGGCTGATTTCATATGTAAGCTGCAGGGCCTTTCATCACACATCTGAAAGGCTATTGGATATGTTCTTGTTCCATCCTTGTCGTCATTCTATCTTATGGGTCTTGGGGCTCAGCTTGTATTTCTTGCAGTGTTCCTGAACATGGCGAGAGAATAAGCATGCAGTGCAACCTCCACCACTCTTTCTACTAATATTCTGCATGTTCTACAATTTCGTTTGTCGCAGTATTCAATGAATATCTCTATTCTAGCTGGAGTTCGCCATTGCGATAAGTTCTCCCATAATGGATCCTGTTACTGTTCTCGGTGTCGCGGCATCGGCCCTGCAGATTGCTCAATTCATTGGGTCCACGATTCAAGGCCTCCACACTCTGCGGGGAAAGTTTAAAGATGCAGATATAACGATTCGTCTCATAATCAGTAAACTTTCCACCATAAAAGCTGCCGTTTTCCAAATTAGAGATTGGGCGGAATTCAACTCGCATGATTCCCCAAAGGAAAGACAGTTCATGGATGGACTTCATGTCGCACTCGATGGATGTCAGGCTGCGATTGATGTACTTTCCGAAGAAGTCAAGGATCTCACAGTGGCTACGAGGGACTCAAATGATGGAATGCCAATTGTACTCGGGGTCAGAGGGAAAGTGGCAGCAGTATGGAGCGAGGATACCATGAAGGCTCATGAAGATAGATTACATGGCCAAGTGCAGGCATTACAACTTCTTCTCATGGCAGGACAATGGTAAGACCACGATCGTCAAACTTTTAATATTCTAGCTAATATGCTCATTCCAATAGTCGTGATGCAGTAACTCAAAAGTCTCTATTGGCACTCAAAGAGAACCGAAGATTGATACAAAAAGTTGCGGACGATACGAAATCACTACGTGAGAGTTCAGCCGGATCACAAGTTTCGAGAAGTGCACGTCAATCTATATTGGGGAGTAGTATTGGTGGAACGGTCTTTGAATTTGATGGCACACTACAAGATTCTCGACCATACAACAATATTGATTCACTGAGGGGAACTCGAGCTCTCGCACAAACAAAAAATCGGCTTCCAGAAACAAACATTACTGCGGCGACTGACGAAGGCTATGAAACAGGAATCACGCTGTCTGAGCCACGATCTCCAGTATCGTTGAGCCATCGCCCCAGTTTGGACAATCGCCCCTACCTTGGTCAAACAAATCTTTTACCGGATTTCAATAATTTCAACATATATCGTAGTCGCAGCGTTGCGTCGGATTCTGCCAAGTCAGAGCCTATGGTCAAGAGATGGTTGTCCTCATCTTCTTCTTCCGGAGAATCATTACCACAAGAAGATAAATTAGATGGTTCTCGAAGGAAGAGATTCTGGCCTAGTCGACTTGGAAAGCTTAACACTTTTAGTGCCGCTAGTTTATTATCAAGCCCCGATCGGGTGAAGTCCGCCAGCCCCAGTTTCCCTACTGTTAATCGATTGAAACGAGGACAAGACATAAACTTCAAACAAAGCATTGATTTTAGCTCACCAAATGGACTCCAAACGCCTACTATTGTCCGAGCAGCCCAAGCAGGATCTAGTGTAGAAATCCAGGCTTTGTTGTCGAATGGAGGTAACATAGAAGCCTATCATGGTGGCACCAAAAGAACTGCTCTCGCAGTCGCTTCCCATTGCGGCAATACTGAATTAGTCGATCTTCTTCTTCAATTCAATGCAGATTTGACTACTCGAGATGTCAATCTAGACACTCCTTTACATCTAGCAGCATCTCGAGATCACTACTCCACTTTACAATTACTACTCCATGAAGACATTGACATAGAATCGAAAAATAAAGACGGATGGTCTCCTTTGTGGGCAGCTGCATACAATGGGCACGTCAAATCTGTCGAGCTATTGGCAAAGAGAGGTGCAAAAATCAACTCGAGATCCAATGATCAATGCACAGCTCTGCATGCAGCAGCGAAGAAGGGAGACAAGCAGATGGTCGAAATTCTACTTCGTAACGGCGCTGACATGGAAGCCAGAGATAATCAATTCATGACTGCATTACATTATGCTTGTGAGAATGGTCACCAAAATGTGGTTGACTACTTATTCCAGAAAGGCGCGAACATTGAAGTCCCGGGCAACAATTCCAAAACCCCACTTCTTTGCGCATCTGCAACAGGTCAATTACAGATAGTAGAATTTCTCTCGAAGAGAAAGGTTAACCCGAAGAGCATCGATGAAAAGAGGGCCAATGCTCTACACTATGCTGCTCGCAACGGTCATGTTGAAGTAGTGAACTACCTGCTCGAATGGAAACTGTCAATATATGAAAGTGATATTGATGGGCTTACACCGCTTCATCTTGCTGTCATCGGCCAACATTTTGGCGTTGTTGAGTTGCTACTTCGAAGAAAAGCAAGCTTAGACCGCTGGTGCAGAGAAGGTCGAACGCCGCTTCATTATGCCTGCGGGTCCGACAGTCCCGATATTGTGAGTCTACTGCTCAGTGCTGGGGCAAATGCCGAGGAAGAGACTAAGGGCGAGAGTCGACGGCCAATTCATATTGCGGCTGCGAAGGGATCGGTGCATATTGTAGAGATTCTCCATAGCAAAGGAATTGCGATTGATCAGCGGGACTCTGGTGGTGATCGACCACTTTGCATTGCTTGTCGCCAAGGGCATGTCCAAATTGTGGAGAAGTTATTGTCGTACAATGAGCCTCTCAGAATGCGTTTCAGAGATCGACCGAATAAAGACTCGCCTTTGTGTATTGCTGCTAAAGCTGGCCATCTCGATCTTGTGAAACTGCTTATGAAGAAGGGCGCATCTGTTAAGGAGCGTGATGAGTTCGGTTATATACCTTTAAGATATGCTGCTTACTATGGGCACCCGGAAGTTTTAGAAATACTCATGGAAGCAGGCGCAGAGCTTTATGACGAAGGCGAAGACTCGCACGGCTGGGGATTCTTATTGATGCCTGCAACAATTGGGTTTTCTGACACCACTGATATATCAGAAGATCGTAAACACCGCGTTCGCAAGCTGCTTGATGAGATGGAGAGACGTTATCATGAGCGTGAGGACAGTAAAGACAATGAATACAGATCAGGTACTGCAGCGGAGCTCGGCCGTGGGCAGAAGGGTACCGTATACAGAAGCGATTCATCGATTCCGCGGCAGGAGCTTGGGGGGTCTGTATTCAGGGGCCTCAGGCCCATTGAGCTAAGTGGAGCTGATGTTCGACTTCAAAACACCTCAGAGTTCTCGCCAGGCCCACTTCTTTCTCCACGCCAAGATGATGGAGGCGCTGAAAGAAGCAAGCATCAAGTTTCCCCACTTGTGACCGAATCTGCAAATACGACTACACCCAAGCTCGAAGCTCCTATTAATATCCCACAAGTTCCCTCAGAAAACCTTTATCCTCAACCCACAGTTTCTAAAGATGTTGCTGCGCTCATTGCACAAAGGCAAGCAGAGATACTGCAGTTGCAACAATACCTTACACCCGAACAAAGTACAACGGAGACAGTATTACCCTCCGAAAGTCCACATCAAATCTTCTATGAAATGTCCGCGGACTGAGATGAATTCATTCTTTTGATACGATTAATATGTTGCACACGTCCCAAGGAAATTAGATATAACGTACTTTTTCCAGCAAAGCGTTTTTCGTGGTATGAAACATAATGTCTATAACTTTATCACATGCTCCGTTCAAGCATTTAAGACAGACACAGGTCTGACGTAGGTCCCTGCATGGCAAAATCGGGAGGGGATGTCATTGAGACCCACCAGGCCTTCCCTAGAAAAGTCAAAGAATTCCGAGGTGTATGCATGGGTGTCGTGATTTCTTCCAGAATGATTGACTCATAATGCTAGTACTACTATACTAGTCATGTGGAAATCACGCAGAATCATTCTCAACTCATCCGACATCCCGCAAACTAGCATTACTGACTCGTAATAAATGAAAAGTATTCGGACCCGACAGCATAAAGCAGCTGTACAATGTCATTATCATACTATCTGAATTTTCAATTTAACCGGCCGGGCATCTCCGGCAACACCCCATAGGGTCTTCGTTCTACCTCCGCTGAAAGAACATTGCAGAATGAAATTCTACATCACCAACATTTATATTACCGACATGAAGAAAAAATTGCCGCTAATTATCGGAAGCTTTTTTCAGGGATTTGAAATCTGACACATGTTTTTTGCGTTTCATTAGTCTGATTCGCTTACATCTTGGCAGTCCACTGAATGAGTTGTCTGTTTTTAGAATCGCATGATTTATCGTCTCATAATTATTTCAGACAATCTTACAGTCAACGAATTCCATACGATTTCAATTATCGGAATCTACTTGTGCATATTTTATCTTGACATTGATTTACTTTTGTTAAGCGTACCGTGATGTAATATTGAAGTATCTGTGCGATGGTATGATGTTAGACAGGGGAATTCGGCAGAGAAGCCTGTGCTGTGCATATTCAAGCTTGACAATTGATGCATTTACAATGGTTTGATATTTATTCTCAATACATATTTGCCCCAGAATTTCTTTACTAAATCTCTGTTTTCCTCTGGTTTCAATCCTTTTGCAAGATTAAATTACACTTCAATTATCAACAATGACCACAACTGTAAACAGCGCACCACTTAGAGTTATCATCATCGGTGGTGGACTAAGTGGCTTAACATTAGGACAACTTCTTGCAGATGTGCCGAGTATCAAAGTCACGCTCTATGAGCGTAGCAGAGGTCCAACCGACAGGCTCTCTGGATATCGTGTTATGTTATCTTCATTTGTTCTCCGAAATCTTAAGGGAAAACTGCAGCATGATGTGTGGCAGGAGATTGCGCCTAGTATTGGTATTCAGCCTGGTGGGGGCCAGGAGATGAACTTTGTGAAAAGCAATGGCGATCCGATATTCACGTGGCTGCCAGAGGAAATACAAGATCAGTTTTCTGTATCGCGCTGGCGCCTTCGGGAAGGACTATTGCATTGGAGCGAATCTTTCGCGCGTTTCGGGAAGAAGTTCGACAGATATGAGAAATTACCAAATGGAGTAGTAAGAGTACATTTCACAGATGGATCGATAGACGAATGCGATTTATTAGTTGGCGCAGATGGTATCAATTCTCAAGTCAGAAAGCAAATGTTTCCGCTCTCTAAAATACGACCCACGGACGTCACAGTCATATATTTCAAAATCCCATTGACAAGGGAAACATTCAAATTAGCAGGCTCGCATAGTGGTGTCATGGTACAGTCTCTCCAAGCCTCTAAAAAGCACCTTCCTACAGAGTACTAACCCGAACACAGGCCTTTTGTCCTGGAAATCAGAATATATTGGTGCATTCTTGGCAGAACCCATTGAAGCCTTGGGCGACAGAATATACAGCGGATGAGATCGAGCCTTCTGAATCATTTATCATGTATGGTTATGGCAGCCCAGCGAGTGCCTTCATCAACCAGTCAAAACCGCCTGAGGAATTTACTCCCGTGGAACTGAAGACTGAGATCATTGCTCGTTCAAAAACTGATCGAAACGTACACCCCAACTTTTTACAATTGGCTGAGATGTGCTTGACAAGCACGGCGTATCTGCACATGGTGAAGAAGTGTGATTCGGTAAAGCCATGGGACTCAACTAGTGTAACGTTAATCGGGGATGCAGTCTTTAAGTACGTACCATTTACCTCCTGGCATTGGGAATGTCGGTGACATGTGACTAACATTGGATTCAAGCATTATGACTACCTTAGGGAAGGGCGCCAATTGTGCTCTTCTTGACGCTGTCTCTCTCGCAGAAACAATTTCACCTCTGGTATCTCCACCGTCAACATCACAAGACGAAAATATTCAGCTCACCTCAGAGAGTGTTCATGGACCTAAGCGCAAGCTAGCCAGCACAATGGAGCTTAGGCCAGCGCTCCGAGCGTTTGCAGTGGAGAATGTCAAACGTCGTCACCGGGAACGACAAAGAAGTGCATTCCTTCAGAATCTTGTATATTTCGGAGATAACAAGTTCAAAGAATACTGCAGAGAAAGAGTACTAAAGAATGCTTTGGGGTGGGTAGAAGGAACAAAAGGTAGAAAGAAGGAACTTTATGGCGCGAGAGGTGAGACGAGAGACGTCGGTGGATTATTATCGCCCAATGAAATACCGCATCATATTAGTGATGGAAAGCTTGACCGTGCAGACGAGGAATCAATTATAGAAAGGCAAAGCTTTCTAGAAAGAGGTTGGGGACTTGTAAGAGCCGATGAATTGGATTCGGAATGTGTGAGCGTCGCGTCAGCGTCAACGCGTGAGTCGAGGAGCACCAAGGCCTCTTCATCGGCAGTGAATTCGAGTGAGTGTTTGACGGGGAATAACGCCTAGGTTTGGGAGATAATAGGAGTTGTGTTTGGATTATATGCTGGTAGTATACCCATTTGTGGCGAATTGATGATATATAAGGACTGGGAAGGATTTTGGGATAGACTGGGCAGGAAAAACTCAAGGGAAATGTTGGTTTAGACGATCTTAGACGGCCTTTTTGTATTACATTATTTCTACTCAATTGATATATGTATACTGGGTACTCTGAGAAAAGAGCTGTGATCATAGGTTGCATGCAGCTTGTAGTATTGTAATATCTTTTCCCCGTTTTGCATTCCAAGTCTCTTTCTTTTTTTTTTCTTAACACATGCTCTTATGCAAAAAGCTTGCATCTCTGTCAGATGGTCAGCATGGGCATATCGTAGTTCTACAAGATGGAAATTCCACAATTTAGATTAAAACTGCCGGCTAAGGCGCATTTGAGACCGACATGTAAGATCATGGCAGGTCTAATCTTCCAATCTCTGTCTTCTTTGCCGAGATACATCGGAGTATAGCTCAATTGTTCCATGTCTTTGGTCTATTGGTACAGCCCATAGCATCAATCATCTTATTTCAATCGTTCCACATACTTACGGTTCTCTTTTCAACGATGTTCCATATTGATGATTGATTGTCGAACAGGGGATCATGGCCCGCGAACATCTCGAAAGAGGTGGTGTATGCGATCGCGTGCTGTAGATTTTCGCTTACGGCGAAGGTGCTGTATTGTAGGCATTTAGTTTCATTCGCAAGAGTGAAGTTGTATAAAATCAAGAGCCTCAGATTATTAATATATATGGGTCATTGGCTTCGAAAGTCGCAAGAGTTCAGTCGACATAATACTTTAATTTTCAGTAATTAAGACGATCGGAATCACCAAACAGTCTGAGTAAATCTCAAGAATTCATTTCACAATCTTTCGTCATCATCTAAGAGTATCTTTCACCTTCGCAACTTTAAAAAAATATACTCTTCACAAAAATGTCGCCTCCGTCGACTCCAATCTCTTCACCCCCTCGATCGCCCGTCTTACCACCAGGTGCGCCCCGCCCCAACAGATTTCGGGATGCGATTCGACCTTCTGTCGAAATGGAACAGAATATCAGAGAATCTATCAATCGTTATCGTGGTAGTATCATTACCCTCGTTGCGCAAGATTTTGAGAAGAAAACTGGGCACAAGTTGAACGTGAAACAGAAACAAAAGACCGCAGTTTCGGCAGACAGCCAGACATCGGCCAGTGTCCCTCCAGTCACTGCGGAACCTGAGAATCGGGGCGAGACTTTGGCTGAAGGTACGCAGCAAGTAGTCTACGGATCGGTAGAGTGGCATGCGGCGAATGATGGGTTTGTTGAGATGAGTGCGGCTGAGAAGGAAGCGGAGAGGAAGTTTTGGTCTTGATCTGTTTAACTGATGTTTATTACTACTCTGCTGGTCCTTTGCAACCAGCTTGAGTATCGATATCTAAGATTATAGAACAGCTGGTAGAGATGGTAGATGATTGAGCGTCTCTTCTCGGAGAATATTCACTGGGGGAATTGGTTTACTCGATGGCGGAAAACTAGGAACTAGGAGAGGCAAAAATCTTGTCAAGTAGTACATTTGTCAAAAGCTATTCTCGATTGCGAAGAAAAATTCAATCCTCATTTGATCTTCTTCTAATTCAAAGATGACAGGTTCACATTTAAGATGTAAATCACTCACAAGATGTGCGGGATATTGCGATGTTTTCTTCACTATTGGGCTACGGATTGATGTGTTCAACTATACACTGCGGAGGTGGATTAGCTGACAATTAAAACAAGAGCAGACAAATTGGCCTTGAGCTGGCTTCCATCTTGTGTTTATAGTAGCTTCATGGTATTATGGACAATTCACATGGCATTATTTTGTAGTTCGGCGATAATTTTGATGGCAGTTAATTAGAGATATTATTCATGTAGGCTAATTTGGCAAAAAACTTAGTCAATCATAGCCTGGGCATCTACTACACTTGATGGCCCCTACACTGTGTCTGTTACGTACGCAGAAGCTGCAGAACTTACAAAAACTATTATACCTGCATGTAGTATCAATGTTCACAACCTTTCGACCAAGACTGCTAGAGAACTTTGTGACATTTTGATTGTAATAGACGACGTACGGCTGGTCGTCACTAATGATAGGAGCATCTTTTCACAACAAACAAACTATGGCTGCATTCTTGATAGCACAGACAGTACGGGCAGTACGGGGAGTACGGTAAAATCATAGTTTTGTATTCAAGACAAGACATAGAAGAGAGACAAAAGAAAGTCTTTTGCTCGACTCCAGTTTTAGAAAAACATCAACATTAAACACGAAGATTGAGACTTGAAGACTTAAAGACTTCGATACTTGAACCCCAACCAAACGAATCTCCGAACTGATCCCTCTAATAATCAACTTTCGTCTATACCTACTTGTATCTCCGCGATGTCTTCTTTATCCAAAATGGCATCCAAAATTACACTCAGAGATTTGTTCAGCACTTCAAAGAGTACTTCTTCCGCTAAGAAGACTCCTCGTGCACAGCGCCCAAGCAACTTTATCGAAAATCTTGATGACGACATGGATCTAAGGGCCGAGGATCGAATCCATTTCATTGAAAGAATGGAACGCGGCGAAATGGTCGAGGATGCTTTCCAACAATACAAGAGAAAGTATCCCAATCAATGGAACAAGCTCAGATGGGAGGCGAGCCATAAAGATCACAATGAGACATACGATGAGCCTTCCGAAGACGACGCCGAATCAGTTCATATCGAATGGAGTGAAGGAACAATCAAGAAAACCTCGGAGAGTAATCGCAGCGGTCTTAAACGTCCTATTTCTCCAATCAAGAAAACTCGCCAAGACAAGATGACCAAGGGAATTGCGGTTACAAAGAAGGCTTTGTGTTTTGGATCGCCCACTCCTGAGGAGTGAAATTCTGTCCAGTCATACTGGAGGACCAATGTTCAGGAGCGATTTCTCTGGAAATAGAAAGCATCCTGGCTAATGGTAAAAATGCAAGGTGAAGGGATTACTATTAATGCACCAACTCATGTGGAATCAGGTGATCGGGTTGAGAATACTGGGTGAAGGATCCGCCTCCACATCTGTGTGGGGGAATTTTTGAAGGGCGTTTGATTAGCAGATTTAGCGAATGACTAGATCTTTGGGGGGCTGGGAGGGATATCTATTTACTTATTCCATGATGGTCGGAATAACTGAGTAATCTAATCTTTAGGCTAGAAACATAAATTTCGTTATCATCATTGACGTGCACTGTGATTTTTTGCTTCAATTTCAAATTACCGGTCTTGTTGCATGTGGAAATCAAAATTTCAGGTCTCAGCTAGCAATATTTCTTGGTAGTATCTCTATCACTTAGTCAGCTTTAGACGCAAAGAATTTTTCAATCTAGCCCAAAGTACGGTAACTTTTGACTTGGTGCTCATGACATGCGTATTTGTTTTCTTCACATTTTCTAAATCCGCATATCCGGATACCTGGGTAGCGTGTGGGCTTCGGCTAATGACTAGGTGGCGTTGTTGATTACTCCCAGATCCCTAGTACGGTTCTCAATTTGTACAGTTACTATATTTTAAGCCGCAAATCACTGGATCAGGCTGCCATGAGCTTCATACTGTTTTACTACACATCCAGATGAATCAAGAAGGCTTATTTCTCCAGTAACTGTGTAATATTACGGCTCCTGTGATTTTAACACGTCTATGCCGTGTTAAAAGTTACTGAACTGGCCGTATCTGCTTTGATCTAAACTCAAATTCAGCGCATCTATTTGTAGATAAAACCATTCAGTCTGCCACTCAAAATCCACATTCTTGGTCCATCAGTTTGGAAGTCAATAGTCAGAGACGTGATCTCACATTCATTGCAGATACTGATTTCTGATTTTAATCACATTTTAAGAATATACGAGATCACTATCAAAATGCCTGCCTCTTCCCAATCTGGCACTTCCCGTCGAGTCCAATTTGACACCAGTATCGCCAAGTCTCCATGCATTGGACCAAGTGTTACCCGAAATCCTATAAATGACGAGTACTACCTTCGAATGGTATTTTCCGAGAAGAAGATGTTGATCAAATCAAGTATGGTACCACAGGATGAGTTGGAGATTTCAGATCAAGAGCGCTGTGAAGCAAAACGCCAGATTCAATTCGAACCCGAGAAAAAGGGTGTTCGACAACATCATCACATGAACGAAGAATACTACCATCGCATGGTCGCAATTGAATCGAAGATGTGGCAAGAGGCAAATTCTGGAAAACAAGCCGAAGCAGAAATGTTAGACAAAGCCCCCCATGGCGCCCTACGCCGGGTCAAATTCCAAGACAGCGTTTTGAAATCACCTGACAGCATCAACACTTACAAGAATAATGCCAAGAATCAACTCTACGATCGTATGGTTGAGTTGGAAACCAAAATCTGGATTGAGGGCGGTGTTAATACGCAGAGCAGTGCAGATGATAGGAGTAAAGGCGGGATGTCTTCCACTTAACCCAGTCATTTCCAATACGGAAATGAGAGACTGAAATCTAGACTGGGGAATCTACGCGATATAGTCTACTAGTACTGAGGTAAATTCTAACGAGATTCTTTTTGACATGAACCAAACTATTGCGGAAGACGGAACGACGGATTTCACAGGGAAGCACAACAACTTGTGGTCGAATGTCAGTTTGTACAAGGAGAAGTGGTTGAGCTTTGGTCAACCAATCAAATTGCCAGGCCATGGGAGTCCGGACTGTACTTTCTTTTAAATGTCTTGATAAGGAAATAATAGTATGATCAATCCAAGAGAACTTGAGCTGCTGATTTGATGATCTTGTGACCGCAAACTTCTTCTTCTTCCAAAATAAAACTTAGATTTAGAAAAAATTATATTGCTCAGTATGTGATGAATCCATGCGTGAAGGATTTGACCTGAGCTCATGTAATATGATTATGTATAATGGGCATCTTTTATTCTTAGTTTAAACCTCCGAAGCATAGATTTATCCGTAGTATATAATCAAGTATATATAAATCACCTTCTCACTTCACTTATCATGTTTATTCGTCTATAGTTTTACTAATATCAAACCGGGCTTCGAGGGTCTTATCATGCGTAGAAAAAAATTGAAGCAAGCTAGACTATCTGAGATGATATTGGCTTGTGGCAACTAGCAAATAGACACATTCTAATGACATGACATTGCATGCTGGAAGTAAAGAAAGCCTGTGCAATCATTTTTCGCATGTCTATAAGAGTTGATCAATGCCAGCTGCAGTCGGTTAGATGCTAATCGCGGCCCACATCTTCATTTCAGTTTTATTCCATTCATTTTTATCGTGTTGATTCCCTAACTTCATAGTTACGGAATCCTAGCTTTTGATGGCTCATGTGAGTTCTGTTTGAGGTCTGACGTGCTAAGTGCAGAACATTCATGTATTCATGGCATTAATAAAAAAGTTTCATTCGGCCTCATTTTGTCATAGTATCCTCATTGAAGATGGAAAGTGGCAGGTAACTTCATAAACTACAGATTCAAATACACCATAAGAATGATCATGTCAATCACAAAGGTTTAATTGCACTTTTGGTGATAGCAGCGAAGAAAAAATATCCAGCTATCCAACTATTCATCTTATTGCGATGCCATCGACCTTTCTCTCAAAACACGGATGTCAACCCTTAAACAATACGACACGGCGATAATCGCTTGTCGATATTTTGAGGAGAACCCCGCAAATTAAAACAAATAACTATCACAATTATTGTAGGGAGAATAAAATGCCTTTTTGCGCCTTCACAATTAGGCACATCACGCCGACCACGCCTCCTAGAAGACAAGATATCGAAATAGTTTGTCTTTCCAAGTGATAAACAAATTAGTTCTTTGAACAAGAACTAATTTGACTTCATATTGTAATAGTATTAGCGCTGACGAAGTCCGAGAAAGTTCATCCCATAGCAACTAACAGGCTTGGCACTAAAGTGAGGATGACTGTGTATATGAGATGGGACAGTAGAACTTCCTCCGTATGACATAGCTGGTACGAAAATCAGGCATGCTGCTCAAACTTCAAAGAAGCTTGGTCACCAAGAAATTGATTTATCACATGATAGTTAAGAAGTCAGCATGGATAGATTCGTCAAGTCGCATTAGTTGATATTTTAGGGGTAAACAAATTCTTCGATGATTCTTCTGGTCAATGAGGGCTCAATTGTTTATGTTGACTAGCCTCAAGAATCTCCAAATCATTGCACTAACATAAAGCCACAATTTTTTGTATATGCCCCCGCTATTGATGAAGCTTCTCCTCTCCTTTGAGACCCCATTCTGCTTGAACTTGAGAATTCAACATTATTCGAGGTTTCCTTTGTTCTGTCATAAGAAAGACTAACAGAACAGCAATTGAACTTCTCATAAGCACAGGACAGTTACTGAATAAAGGTAAAACAAAGAAGACATTCGGCTACAAAAAGCTGTCCACAAAGCCTTTGTAAACTCTTTTATTCCCCATCCTCTTGCATCTGCAGTATTAAGTCATCAAAGAATTCATCACTCTAACTAGATCCTAACCTATCTAATTTAAGTAAAAGTATCCTAACCAGTAAGTTCTTTGTTTCTTTCCCAAAATGGACAAGATTAACCGACCAGATCGCCTCGAAGCGACAAACAACTACCCCGGAATGCTTGAAATTCTATCCCCGGAAAGATTTCTTGAGCGCGGCACTGCAATTACTACTGCTATCCAAGCAGCAATCAATGCCAACCCAGTCATAGACGTTTCGTATCCAGATTGGAGTACCCGCTACGTAAATATCCACAGTGTTCACAATCAAGTGCTTCCAGATCTCGACGGATTCAACCGAGTTTTCTCAGATCCAGAGTTGCAGATTGAAAGCGCAGGTGCTCATTGGTCCTTCTACACGTTCTTTTCCAGAGCAGCTATCGATGCTGAAGATGATGTGAGCAAGTTGTTAGATTATGATAGTGTTGCACAGATGTTCGTTTCTCCGAAAACTGGAACTGCCTTCATGACTTTCTCAAATGCAGCGGCTGATATTGACATCCCCGACGTCGATACACAGCGTTTGTATAATAGCGAGCTTCTCTATCAAGGATGGCGCGATGCATGCGCTGCGCAGTTGGCGAATGGTACCATGAATAAATCGCAACTCCGAAAACTCAAGTATATCATCTGCGGTCCCATTGTCAATCTTGGAACTCTTTGGACAATCCGCGATGTTCTTACATCCCAGGAAGTTCCCGAGTTCTTAGCAGGTCAGAAATCCAGGTTCACGGTTGATTCCTCGATGAGTCTCGAGCTCAAGCTGTTGATGGGCACTGCTAATGGCAGACCATTTGGCAGATTATGCGCGGACCATGCTCAGACATTGGGCAAGAAACAAATAGAAAAGATTCACATCTTCTATCCTTTCACAGAAACCAACGAAGGCACATTGGTGTTTGAACTGAATGAAGACTCCCCAGTCGAAATTCAGAGAAGACCAACCGCCCGTGAGAGAATCATCGCATTGGCTAAGTCAAACAACACGGCACCCACACCTCTTACCAAATCAGGTACAACCAAAGTCAGCCGAAAAGTCAGTGAAAGGATGAAAGGCTTGATGAAGAAGTTTGAGAACTGAACTTCACGAGACGAGATAAGAAAGCGCAGGCGCTAAGTTATCCCCAGTTTTATTTCTCCCCGCTACCTTCCTTGAGTACTGACAATTGATAGATATCTTGATCGGAAGAACTGGTGCTCATCAAGCAATTAGATTTAGACATGATTTCCTTCTTTGGAGTTGGATCTCATTCTCATTTGCGCATACTAAAATGGAAAAAAAAATTACAACAGAATATATAGAACAAAATTTGATAAGTGGTGAAAATACGAATGTGAAAAACAAAATAAATGCAAAGAGGTAAGGTGAAGCTGATCATGGATGTGAGGATTCTCATATGATCATCAATCGAACACACCGAGGGGGGAGTGATATTGATGCCTAATGATCACTCAGTTTAACGTCTGCGACAAATAAGTGACAATTTCGACGTGTCGGAAAGTAAACAACTCTTCACCAGCCAAAGTATATAAATTTCTCTTAATCCTTGAAATACAATAAGACTGATTCGCTAATTTGTGGTTTTTAATCTGCTAATTGTAGCTTTATTGATTTCTCCGCGAATTATCTAGCTGTGCCACGTAGCTGTTGATAAACTTACGTCTCACCGACTGTTCTCTATAGCATGATTTCTATTCTCCGACAGTCCAAACTAAAGCATTAATATATTTTGTGAAATTAACAACCTCCATTCTATGAGGTATCCAGGGAGTCTGCGTTGGTTGTTTTCTGAAATATTGGAAAGGAAAGTTAGCTCAGAGTCCCGGTTAGCTGTATCACACAAATTCAGAGGCCGAGGTTGATAGATAGCTACTCAGAAATGACATGTTCTGAATTATTTCCATAATATATTTGGGAAGGGGAGGAGAGGGGGGCCAGGAAAAGAATCCGATCATTTAACATTTCCAGGATCCGACGGTAATTCCCATGGAGGCACCCGAAGCTTTAATAACCTACCCATTGCTACGTGGAACTGTTAAGCATCGTATAGTTATTAGAAGTAGTTAAATTTTAATCTCCCATTCGTTTACTTTTTGGGCATAGTATCATAAAATAGAAGAAGAAATGGAAGCTCGGAGATTTTTTCAATGCTTATTCGGCTCTTCATGATTCTCGGAATCTTGCCGTATTGATTGTGGCCGTAGTAAAAGAAAATATGCTATAAATAAACTTGAGTTTGAGCTCACAAGACATTACATCAAAACCCTTATAGCGCCAACACTTCATTAAGTGGATCTTAGTTTCTTCACTTTATCATCCATCGAAAACCCACTTGGCAGCTATACTCTCTTCCTAAATTTTAAGTCGGAAAAATATACGAGATGTCAGACAGCAATATCTTCAATCAAGAAGAGGAACAGAAGGCATCACAAGCTATAGAAGATAAAAGAGACGTCAGCTCAGATGTTTCTAACGCAGCTCAGAAATCACCAGACCCCTCAGTCTGGCCCCGTCGAAAAGGAGAAGCCAGTGAAAGATCAGCTAAAAGAGGATATCGCGCACCGTAAGCCACACCAAAATTATAGGACATTCACTTAGTGTCGTCTGATCTAACGTAATTAATGCAGACAGGAATGCCCTACACTACGGGCCCGCTGATCCAGATGCACGATTTTGGGGTATACTTGCCACCTCCCGTCGCAATCGTTCTCTTAACAGAGTAAGCAGAAGACTTCGAAGATCCGAGTGTGAGAGAAATCGAACGGCTAAATCAGACATATCTTGTAGACGACAAAATGAGAAAAACAACGGACTTAGCGATGTAAGCTCGCGAGATAAATTTGGTGAAGCTAGCTTTAGAGCCGAGCCGCTACATTCTCCGGAGTCTGACATCACACCAACTCCTTTACTTCACAATGCGGTCACGATTGTCGAAGTGTATGAGCTATTACTGGCCAGCTGCGCAAAGATTCTTGCAAGATTCCGCGCGAAACTCAAAAAGGAGAAAACTGTTTAATTTAAATAGTAATTGAATATATGTCTCAAGAAATGGAGCGAAGCCTTCTTGTGGTGGCGATAGTTACAGATATGTTTCAATGATGGGTATACATGGAGGACCAAGCGACCTGTGGACATAAAATCTGTATGTGGCACATTTTTATCCCCCATTTGCTTCTTAGCTCCTCTGGTCTAAGATCAAATGATCATCCAACTCATAGTGTTATTTAATTCAATTCTGCACGAATATATTTCGTAGCCTGTGTAATGATGCTTGTGATATCTCTGATTGTATGAAACTCATTTTTCGTGTGACAACAGGAGTCTTAAATTCAATTTGATATTGAACTCATATATGTTCAGACAAATTGACGTTAGGCCAAATAAGTGTTTTAGTTAACGCCTGCTCTCATTGCTATCTGACCTATCCAATGTCGATTCGGCAATCTTCACATAGTCGAAATACGTTGTATAGTTAATTCCGTCGGAAATTCAAAGACGTGGCAAATTACTAGTTTTAGGGCGGGAATTTAGAAGATTGTACATTTAAACTTACTCAAAACATAATTTATATGCCACATTGTTGGTGATAGTGAAGGAGGCACCGAACTAACTCCCCGCTTAACGATCTCGCTTATTTTGATATTATCCATAAATTGGCACACTAATTGAAAAATCAGAAAGGCAATACATTGAATTATTGCTGCTACAAATTCAATGGACACAGAGCATTCATATATTGACAAAGATTTCTGCGAAGCCGGCAAGAAAATCCAAGAAGATGAGTGTGATTTCTGGTAGAATATTCTCAAATCAGAAATTCTGATCAGATGTGCCAGCAACACAATAAGGTTCAAGAACTGAAGTTTGGATTGTTAAATGTGTAACTTTCCTTCATTACTGAACTCGACCACTCTAAAATCCTGATTAGTCGGGCGCCAGGTGACGTCGAGTAGATGATTGGTAGTCGATGATTTACTTTTAGCCAGAATGTAACCCCAATTTTGGCAAGGAGCTTCTAATAAATCGGAGAGTTTGATCCAAGGATTGTTGGGAATTCTTTCTGAACATGAATGGCATTGCAAATATGATCGTGATAGTGAGGTACCCTATATAAGCGAACAATCTAGGCAAGTTGGATCGAAGCCTGCTTGAGTAGATATATTCCTATTGACAGCCATGAATCCAAATTTTTGTCTCTATCCAAAAATGCCTAAAATACACCACAACTTCAAAATAATACAAATTTTAAGAAAATAATACTATCACTGACCTCCAGGCTCTTTCAAGACGGCTATCTGGCCCAGAGCTCTCAGTACTTTCCCACAATACGGTTGAAATCGGGGTTCTCATGTTCATAGACTCGCGCACACGATTGTACCTGCAACTCCAATAACAGTAAGCGTGGTTCTATCATTGGATATAGTGATATATATATGTGTTTTCTTCCACCCCAGAAGCATCTTTCAAGATTGTTCTTCATCAACCAACAATCCATACTCAAGTTAATCTACAAAATCGAATCAAATTCAATCTCAATCCTTTAACACTTTTCTTCATTTCAACACGTCAAAATGGATTGTCTCAGAGTTAACAATACAACTGATATTAAAACACAAAATAATACAAAAGACGACAAGACCAAGACTACTCCCGCATACGATAGATTCAAGACACCTCTATCTAAATTCTTGACATCCCCACTAGAATCTCCCAGCCAGGTGAAAGCTTCGCTGCCCGGCAACATTCGAAGAGAGTTACCTACCTCACCAACGGTTGGAAAGAGAGGGTTCCGTACCAGAAACAACCTTGTCGACAGTCAACGAGCGGCTCACAGCCTACCCGCTCATGACAGTCTATATTGGAGACTTCTTGAGGAGACTCGTCGTCAACATGAGTGTCCTAGAGGTATTTTGACAATGCCCGAGACTCAAGACGATGGTGCTCAAGAGATGGCATCGCCTACAATCATGTAGTAGAGGGATGAGAACGCAAATGGATGAGACGTGGAGAGATATGAATTAATGAACTTTTCCATGGCTGCATGTGCAATATTTTGAATATGCATTGTTCTCATAGTTCCCGGCGCTCTATTCAGTTTGAGGTGGATTAATTCAGGAGTGCTTTTTTTAATCACTGATGGAGATAGCAGTAATGAGAAAGGAATACACTACAATTTTATTCACATCAATGGACCACTATGCATGTGAAGATAGCGAGTATTAGGGATCTTTCCCGCGGAACTAGATTAGTTTGGTAAAATAATTTGCTGTGCAAAAGCGCAGATGCTATGTTTCGTATCCTTTGGGGGCGCAGAACTCTATGTATACAATACCAGGCAAGCAATATCCCCCTAACAATATTCTATTGTAGCAATTCGATTCATCTAATTCCACGACTCAGTTCCTACTTGAGATTACTTGAATTGGAGGTGACTATACAGATTGTGAGAAACCCCTGAAATCATAAAATATGCTATGCACTATAACATGAATTGGATTACACTATCTGCCGATTTTTCTAGCGCACATCACTTCAAAATAGCAAAACCCGTAGGATATACAAATTCGAAGAAGAGTAAGAAGACATGAAACGACAGAATCATCACTACGGTGTTCTGAATCTCATCAATCGCGTTCATGAATTCGCGCACATAACCGTGACCGTATTCGCAGACACCAGGTAGATATATAACAACGAGAAGTTCCTCTCCTCCTATCCATTTTAATTACAAAAATTCCATCTGTAAATCTCTCCGCCGATAAACTTTCATCAATTAACCATCATTGAGAACCCCGGCTGACAACCTCTCCACATTTCAAATAATCCTATTAAAACCCCATGAAGAAAGAATCAGCGATCATGAAGACAGAGAGTTTCTCCACCCCCAGTTCTATTCCCTCTCCAAAAATCGCTCTGCCCAAGAGTAATTCGCAAAATAGCACACCGAAAACCCCTCCAAATGCACGCATGCTATCTCCACCAGGAGCTCCACGTCAACGTCGATATCTTCGCTCGGGAGTAACTCAACAATCAAATGGATCATTTAGAACTCCGCGCAACTTTGGAGATAGACTGAATGACACAGCCTATAGTCCAACACCACGCCCGGGACAGAATAACAGAGACTCACGCTCTCGTTCACCTCCAAGAGATCGTGCGCCTGTGTACCGAAGCCGATCCCCGGTAAATGACCGTCTGTTTGGCGGACGATCGACTCAACAGTCATCTTTCTTGATCGAATCCATTGAACAAGACACCGTTTTGAATCATGTACAACCTTCCAGATCATACAATATGAATGAGGGATTTCAGGGTATGATATCCCCAGCAGATGCCGAGCGTAAGAAGCAAGGTTCTGGAAAAAAATCGTCCGGACTACCAGATAATAAGACTACTCAGACGAAAGCCAAAGACATCGATTCAAGTAGCAACAAAAAGTCATCCAAGGATTCTAGTGACGAGAAGCGTAGTTTCTGGTCAAATAAGTCTTCAACATAGCGAAAGACTATAAGAAAATTGGGCGATGCAGGTTTGACATCATGGATTTGTTTGAGTTGGAAAATAGTATCTTGAAAAGGATATAACGAAAATCGACATATCTTCATCCGAGCCACAGCCATCCTGAATAATAGGAAGATAGCAATTTCTTCGAGCATTCTGGTCATTGCTTTCAACAGTGGAACGTTGATCTGTTAACGCATGCGTGTATATGGTATCCAGAAAGACACTGAGTTCCTTTGGGCTTGTTGAGGGTGGATAGAAGATTTGGTGTGCCTAGGTTTCTTTTGTATGAGTATCTTATGGCATTGTACTGTAGGGCGAGGGGCGGGGGGGATTCTAAGAATCCACTGGTATCTTCTATGATATTGGTAGAATTCCAGTATGAAGATTGGTTTGTGCGTTTTTCCAAGGAAACAGTACAGTGAGACTCAATGGTGTTGATCTGACGTGGTGGGACAATAGCCGCTCCTCAATGTTTCCATAGAATTTACCCCTGTGAAATTACAGTTATATGTGGTAGATATTTCACACTGAAAATTGAATCAAACATTTCACTCCAAGGGTGTGAATCATAGGTATGCATTTGAACTTCTGAATACCTATGTGACATTGAACTAAGCTCATGTTCGAGAATTACCCACAAGATGTGTATGACAATGACTAGAGCTATCTGAAGAAAAGGTGATATAGGCGTAGAAATATCTCGTGTCTGGAATATCTTTAATTTTTAGTATTTTACTTCTGAAAAATTTGCATGTATTAAATCAATGTGCATCCAAAGATTATCTAGAGCATTTTCCAAGTTATCGACATTGGAAATACGCGACAATCCGCGTCTATCCCACGATAAGGCGAGGTAGGCAGCTTTGACGCGACAGATCGAGAGCCATTTTATCACTTTCACGCCGTAAAATTCCTTCACTCTATTCACTCAAATTTCCGTAAAAGGCCAAAAACATGTTTCCAAAAATAGTTGTCTCAAAACAAGGGTAAATAATGCCATTAATACGGTCTTCATCGAAGTTCTTTATACCATGTCTGTCTCTTTCAGCTACGAAAGCACATAAACACTCTTCCGACTTCATACGAAAGGAATCAGCTTCCCACTCACAAAGATCTCGCAAAGATTCCTCGTTTCCCTTCGATCTGACCCTTTCAGAACCCAACGAATCAGCTTCCACAAACCATCACTCTATAAAAAAGGACCTCATTTCACTCCAATGGAGCTACCAAAGCACGATTCGAGAAGGTTTTCCAATCAAGAAAGTTTACCTTCAGAAAAAGTGCACCAAAGCGGGTCAGGCTCTAGAAATGTTTCCGGCCAACAAGACACAACTTCTTCCGACGACGATGTGATTATGTCTGATGAGAACTGGAGCTATGTAACTGAGAGTGAAGACACATATATGGACGATGTCTATTACACAGATGGGACTCATACCGGCGACACCACGATCTATCGTCCATCTTCTGGTCTTGCGCCCCAGGTATCAGCCACTTTAAAAAGCTTCGCTCAAGCCCAGGCCCCACAAAAACGATACGTACCAGCTCCACGGCGTTATAGAGGAATTCTTGATCCACACGAGGGCGCAGAAGATGCCGCATTTTTTGCTCACGCAAATACACGGTATCAACAAGGAATTCGGGAAGCACTGCGCAAAAGTGAGGAGAAGTATAAAGAGGATAAGCTGAGGTCTGCGAGAAAAGAAAAGACGGGTTTTACTGCGCAGACCAACGCAGCGCCTGCCGCTACTGATGGAGGGAAGATCAACTTCATTGATCTCTTATGGGGTGATGCTTAAAGAAATTTTGGGTAAAATTTTCAACGAAAACCTTGGGTGGTCTAGTCATTGATATGGAGATAACCGCTCTCAGTGGCTTTCATTTCTGTTAAGTAGGGTCTTCCGCAACTCTGAGCGCTCACCTTGTAGGAGCCATAATTGGTGCGATACAACTAAACTACTGCGACTGTGGTCTGCGATCTTGCAAACAGCTTCGGAAAATACTGTATGTTGGAGGAAAGGTCACAGTCACATGTCAGCCTGGGTTATTCGTCAAGGTCGCTCTTTACTTAGGTGACGGGGGGTGCGTGATTGAGAGTAGTCGTTTTTTGTAGTCAAATTTAAATCGTTAATTTTTATGACTTCGATGAGTTCGCAAGTAAGAATCAGAGTTATTCATAGTAGGAAGCTCTTTAGTAATACGATGGATGATTCCTGCCTAAGTATTCAATGATGATGGTGCTTTTTGCTTTTTGCTTTTCATCATTCAGAGAGAGTGAGCATTCCAAAGATATTCCTGGGCTATTTTGATTTTTTTAAATTGAATTACACCATTCTCTTCCTAGTAATCGACAAGAGAGAGTTCTCTTATTAATACGGCTGGGTTGTTTTCCTTTGGCCCCCCTGAATGACCTAGCTCTTTTCGTTAAGCTCATCCCCACCTCAATTCACAAAATGGTTGAATAACACAGCAAGTCAACAGAAAAACAAGTAACAGCTCAATCATTCAACAACATCAAAGCACAAACATCATAGCCAAAGACAAAGGCAAAAAAAAGGTCACAGGTAGTGGCGGCATCTCCTTTCCTGGACTTAAAAAGAAGATGGCCCCCAAAGCTAGAGTGAACAAATCTAATTCCAAGAAAATTGTCACCAGAAACAAAAATAAGCGTATCAAAGAACTCTGCAATATTATTTCGGAGAAGTCGAGCCGAAATCCCAACTTCACATGCCCAACACCAATTTGCCGTTCGTTAATTGCGACCCCGAGGATATTAAGCACTTGAATGAGGTTCAAAAAGAGTGCTATAGATTGATCAGCGATTGTAAGTAGCCATTGCTTGCATCAAATTCTTATAACTTTAATCTAGACGCTACAAATCATCATTGAAAAAAACCAAAGCTAACCAAATCTTTCACTTCTCCGAAATATAGGGTTCCACCCAATCCAAAATCTACGTCACGTAGACAATCTCGAATTGGATGAGATCCTTGAACACCACAGATCTCACTTTCCAGATGAATCAACTCAAAACTTGCCAGGAATTAAAATAAAGTATGGAAGATTCTTTCACATAATTGCCACGTTGAACGAAATGGAGGAAACTGCTGCGGCAGTTGCAGCCGAAGGTATTACTGTTCAAGAGTTCACAAATAGAGCTGCTGTCGCTAATTATAATAACGCCGTTGCTCAATGCAAAACTAGGGCTGCCGAACTTCTTGCTGCTGAGGCCGAGTTTCGTGCTCTCGCGTCTCTACATGGAGGTTAACAAAGATGACAAGTAAGTTTAAGATGTCTAAGCTCCGTAGCTCTGAGCTGATTTGCAACCTAGATTTCAATGGTATCGACAACGGATCTTCCAGCACAAATAGAGATATGGTAAAAGACTACTGGGAATCTTTAATATCAAGCTAAAGTTGATATCGTGTATAGTAGCGGGGTTAGAATGCTCGCCGAGGATATTCAACACCACTTAGCTATCTCGATGCGTAATATAAATCTTGTTGCAATTGGGTTGCCATGGCGTTTAGTTTAGAGCATCACGAGTAGTTTTATTTCGCAAACAATCATCAAATTAATGAAGGTATGATTCTGACTCTACACTACGCTTTTTAATCACTACTGGATGTATTGAATACTTCCGAGGCTTCAACTTGATTGTATCTGTGAGTGAATCCCGATTTTGACTGTTTAAATTGCGATTGTTCCCTGTGATAGAATGCTTTCCGCTATGTAGATAAAAAAAATGCTGGATAATTTCCTACGTTTCGCAAGATAAAGAGTATTGAAATTATTTCGCTAGCAACCAGCTAGACACAATTTTAGGACTAATCGAATTTTGATTGGTTCCTACCCGACCCCTGAATACCAAAGCAAGCTTTATACCCCACCTCCACCCTACAAGGAACCCATCCATCTAGGTCACCAAGCAAACAATTCCAAAATAGTCTGAAGAAACCAACACAATGACAAGAGTCAAAGCTAAAACTACAATGAAGCGCACTCCCTTACCCGATCAAAGAATGTCCACTACCAAGAAACCCACCATCAAATCTCCCAACTCTAAGCCCACCGCCAAACCTCGCAAATTCAAAATGAGCGCTGCTTCTCGAATGATCATGTCTATCAGTAAGGATACCATTGTTGGCAGAGTCAAGGCACAGGTAAAGAAAGACAGCAACAAGATATCCAAGTCCCGTGGCACGACCGTCGCATCTCTTGGACAGAAATCCCAAAAAGGTCGCGAGCTTCCTTGTCTTGAGCTTCCCAAGCCCGAAGCTCTCCTATATCAAGATGAGGAGACTGTGAAATATTACACCCATTACTACAACTGTAAGTGTCAAATGATTTCTTGTCATGTCATCCTCTTTCCTATTCAAGTCAAAGTTACTTGGCGACACTCGATCGGGAGAAACCTACTAAATACAATTCCTCTTTTTCATGCAGATTACGCACCACTTCAAGAGTTGAAAAAGGGAAAGAGCATGACCTGGAAGGCTATTCATGCTATTTACGCAGAGCATTTTCCCGACAGAAACTTCCCCAAGACCGAAAATGTAATTTCCTCCGCCGCATCTGAGAGCTATCACAGATTGTGTGTAATTGTGGAGGCTGAAAATGAGGCCGTTGCTTTAGCAGATGCTACTGAGAATCCAGAGTTTGTTTTTCCTGACGAAGAGGATGATGAAGACGATGAAGACGACGAAATGGCTCTAGATGGCCAGGCCAAGTGAGGGTTAGCAGGTGAATGAAAGCGTACTGCGAGGTATTGTACACATTCGTCCACTATCTAGGCCCTGTACTGACCTTTCGAACTAGTGCGAAAACTCCGCGAACACAAAAGTCACTCATTGATAATCGAGTAATATGACGCAGACGACGCAGGCAGGTATTCGGCGCGAGGTTCCATTTGATGGCGTAGTATAATGGGGGTACAAAAAAGGTACACTGGTTCATTTTGATTTCTTTATCATAACGACGCATACGGTCTGTGGATTACATTAGCTTTGGTTAAGGATGACGAGATGCTTCATGATGATGCTTCGGGGCACATCAATTCAGGAATATAATGAACGACCCATTACTCTATTGTTGCTGTCCATCTCAAATCACTGTAAATTCCTTTTTTTCGAATGTGATACTTATCAAAACTTTCTGTGAAATACCACAGACTCATCTCTCCAGTCGCCCATTCTTCCCTATGCAAAACAAAGAAGCGTTATGACTTGTACACATCCGCATTTAGATCTCAACTCAAACCGAACCAATATTTCAGAGCTTCGATTATTATAAAACACCGGAAGGTTGGAGAAGTCGTTTATAAATATCATCATTCTTATGCATACTTTTTTCTAAAAAGAAATTCTACGCTTCCAATGAAGTCAAGACTTTAAAAGATGTAGTTTATCAAGGCATCTCACACCTGGACTACAACTACTGCACTATGAGTATCCTGCGAGCTCTGCGTATGCCCAATTCCATCAGGCTCAATCATCCGTAAAATTATCCTGTCTTTGTTTATTTCCTTAGCCTCATTCTCCAATTTGTCAACTCGGTTCTTCATGATCATATTGACCAACTATTTCTCCCAAGCCTCATTTCCTTTCCTTTGATCGCCCCTTTTCCTGATATCCAGATCACTATTCATTTACTAAGTGTCAGATATGACGATCTCCTTTGCTTTCGGATTACTCGTAGAGTGCTGTTCGCATGTATGTTCGACTAGAAGACTATAAGTTATTGTGTCACAAATACATCCAGAGATAAACTCACAAAATCCGCGTTGAAACCCCCGCAACTTTCTGGCTTTACCATACAGGTCTACGCTTTCATCCGAAGCAAAGAAGCAACGCTCTTTTTTGAATCCAATCAATGTAAAACATGCATCCAATTCTTGTTCCGTTGATAAGACCAAATCTTGATCGTGTTCTGATGAAATATTCAAATATTTCTCTTTGTAAGGCTGGCTCAATTCGACTAATGTAAGACACGCCGCCATCATCTCCTCTTCGTAAATATTCAAATAGAATACAGTGCCGTAATGATTGATAGTTTGAAGACACTTTCCAGATCCAACACCATTTCGACTCTGTGACTGATCATCTGGAATTCGTCCAATCTTCAATTCATTTACGCCCCACCTCAAACTATTCTCAGTGAAGGTATTGTAGTCATCGAGCACTGACTCACGCCAGTCCCTCATGGAGTCAAAAGAAATGAACTGCGCTTTCTGCAAGCGAGGGACGTTTGGCTGATGGGCCATATGTTCTTCATAATCTTGAAAGCAAGGATGTGTTGCAGGTGAGTGACGACGTACTGTAGGTAAGGCTCGCTGCTTTGTGCTCGAAGAGCTCCCACGCTCATGTTTAGATTCAATGGATTCTGGTCCATGTGTCGGTGGAGGAAAGTCGATCGATGTGTTTCCGTTCTGTACCAAAGTAATTAATTGAACCTTCTTTTTCGAAACAAATGAATGACAACTTACACTCTGGGCTTTCTTCTTTACTTCCAATTCTTTGGACTTCACTGAATTATCCAGCCCATTCTCCGAAACATGATTTGTGCTAGGTTTTTTCTAAAAAGATGTATCGGCATGTTGGCTTAAAGTATCGCGAGTCTATATACCTTTTTAATAAGCGCTTTTTTCCCCATCACGGTTGCCAAGAATCCATCCTGGGAGTTAATTTTCTCTGGATCTCCAGTCGTAGAATGAGACCTGGAGACGTTACACACAAATCAGACTCTGTCTCGGGTTAAGGAGAAAATATTGTCCTATCAAAGAATTCGAGGCCTACATTCTGATTCAAGCACTTTGCCAGACTCTATAGTCTTGAAATTGATATGGCTGCTATCTTTAGTCGATGACGGAGTAATTGATGATTCAATTTGAAACAATGGAAGAATGTTTTTATCAGTGTAAACTCATTAAGATTGGCATCGAGAAAGAGATTTGTTTCATGATGAGAGGTTCTCATGCAGAAAATTTAAGATGTCTACACTCTATTGACTGTGGAAAGAAAGAACATCCAAAGCGAAGCGTTACTTCCTCCTTTCACTTCAACCATTGGTGAAAATTAACCCAGCAACCCTCCGAAGGCAGAACTTATCGGCAGATGGCTACAAGCAAGCGAATATTCGTGTCAATCATGAAAAGGTTCATTTTCAAAGTATAGATGTGTCATCAGACTTCAAATTTACTAAACTTCCATTGCGCACTTTTTCGTCATTTCTTCACCTTCATGGCATCTTTCTTGCTCTCATTAGCACTCCAGTGCAACCACCACTCCACGGCCACCATATGCAGTACCATTGCCAGCCATCCTGACGTTCCAAATACCATAATGATCGTCATCGTCATACGTTCTGGCGGATAGTATCCAAGTTGAACTGGAATGTGTTGATAGCCCCAACATTGTATTCTCACATGCAGGATGCTTTCGTGAAATAAGCTCAATGGGGTGCGAATGAGTGGTGCATAATTCACGGAGAATGGAACATGTGGTGACGGAATAAAAATCGCGGGTGTGTGGCGAGAGAATAAATCGGGCAAGGAAAAACATGAACAAGCGCATGGTGAAGATCTGATGAAATTTTAGTTCCTGTCAATAAGATAAGAGTGATAAAAGATATGGACTCGATTGAGTTTTGGGCCATAAGTGAGAACGAACGCAGAGAGGGGAAATAATGGTCTTGACTTACACAACCTGTCCACCCCCAAGTCCTGATAGCCCAGACTCGATGCTCTTCATTTCTTTCCTGTCTAATTGCAACCCAGGATTTAAGTAATGCAAAAAATACCATGACACCAAGTGTGTATACCCAGATTCTAGTTTCGAGAGTCCCTCCAAAGGAATTGTGAGCAATCGCAAGAGCACCTTCTTGTGTGATTAGCAGAAGTAGAAAAGGAGGATAGAGGTATCATCAACATGTGTTGCCAACCAGTAGCATCAAGAACAAGGTTCTTCCCAAATATCTATGCAAGCTCAAGTACTTCCTCCTCACTATCGGAAGAAACTGAAGTGGGAGGAGGGTTCCAGCAGCTAGATTCAATGTTAGCTGCAATCACTTTGATCTCCGAGTTGCTTCTGCAATGTATGTAGCAATATTATACAATGAATTGTAAGCCTCAAGCCTCACACATACAATCTGCATCATGGAAGGAAGAGATAATGCTAATCAGACATACGTAAAACACTCCACAGATGAACTTGCTTCCCCAACCACATCAACTGATCTCTAAAGTCTATGAACTCGAGTGAAAATCTGGGCCGTAATCTCCCTCCGAGAACAAAAGATTGTTGCGAAAAAGCGAAAATCGAGAACGTTACAGTAAAAAGAAGAAAGTAGATGAGAGACTTTGAGTATGTGAAGCCGGTGAGTTTCGAAAGAGACATTTTGTTGGGGATATTAATGTGAGCTATTGATGTACCAGTCTGCTATTCATGGAGAAACTTTTTGAATAGAATTTTGGAGTTTCAGGATACAACAACGACAGTAATGAGTAAACAAGGAGTGACAGTTATCGTGAGTATGTCTTATATAACCTAAATATCTTTCGCCGACACGTACAATTTCAAAGGAGTACAGAGAGACGTATCTTTTAGCTCAAGAAATTAAGTTGAGAATTGGCCCGTGCACTTACACGTCTTATTCACAATCTGGAGATGGTAAGAGAGAGCACATATCATTCCTCGTCTTGTACCTTTCAATGGTGTTGGGTTGAGTACTTCTGTTCTTGAGAATTTTGCTTGCCATCAAACTTGGTCAAGCTTATCTCACTTGCTACACGTCTGGTGCAGAGGTGAAAACCTTGGTTACAGGAATAGTCGCGAGCTTTTAGGAACAACTTGGATGCCAGTCATGATTGAGGTTCGTAAGTGCAGATTGAGAACCCCTTGCAGAGATATCTGGATACCAGCAAGTTCTTGTGCTGAGATCGATTGAATCATTGTTTCACGTGATATACATGTGACAATAGTGCTAGCGCATACCAAAAACTCACAGTCTTGAGCGATTTTCTTAGCTTCATCAGAAATGGTCCAAGGCGCGCCCAAGTTCTCAGTACCCATGTATTGGGGAGAAATTTACAACTCGCGTACCCCTTAAAATTCAGATATTGGAAATGCAACAGTGAGGTTGTAAGAAATTCTGTGCCCAAGTCGATCAGAAGATTCCTGATAAGCTTTTCATGCCTCTCGGAAACTCGGAAGTCAAGTCAATTCTCATCGTCATTCGACTGTTCGGTAATTGATAATCCATGGCAGGCACACTGTCCAAAAAACTATATTTGGCATGTTTCAATGGAGCAACAACAAGGCTGGGACTGATGCACACACCAACACATGTTTTCTTTGTTGGCTTCGTATCTTTTGAATCCACTTCCCCCCTAGGGATTCTCTCTAGGAAACCCCTTGTTCCGCCTAGTTTTCCGAGATTGGTTATCCAAGCCGAAGAGGACGCGAATCTTGGCGATTCTCGGAAATTAAGGAGATTGAACGATACGAGCGGAGAGATCGGATGAACCGTTGAAACTTCAAACCCACATCGTTAATCGATCACGACTACACAACTCCGCAACTTCAATTGCAACGAAGCACTGAAGACATTCTCGAATCGTGAATAATCACGTAATTGAACTTTCCTTTAAGCCTCAAACGTTTTCAATAGCCAATATTGAGGGCGACATAAAAAGGTTGGGGTTGTTGTGGACCACATATCTATTTATGGATGATCATTTTGCATGGTTGCTCCATAACTTTAAGAATTTATCGTATATCCACTAGATCCACCAAAGAAAGTATACACGATGTCAACGATGGCCTGTCCAAGTGGTTAGTGCCATCAACTTTCTTATTTCTATTTGACATTCCCATGTTTATTTTTGTCCTTCTGTCTATATCTTTTTTTCTCCTTTCAACTCATCTAGTCTGTCGTTTCCAGTCGAATATTGCAACCAAAACAACTACTTTCGTTAAAATAATCCGGCATTCCTTGCCAAAATGAGGACTACTGTTTCTTCCATTATCAACCTGGGGTTTTTGACTCTGGTTGCCGCTCAAAGCTCGAGTTCCAGTGCTACATCTTGTGTCTCCTCTTACCAACTGTGTTTGGATGAGGGCGGAGCCGACAACACATGCCAATCTAACAATGCAAAGTGCAAAAATTCATGTGCCGACAGCTATGGAACGTGTCTTTCGTCGTCAGATACATCATCATGCATGAATACCTATAATCTTTGCTTGAACGACTTCACCATATTCACCACACCAGAGGATTCGGCTGGAAAGGATTGTGCATCTCTTTTCTCGGCTTGTCACGACTCGGGAGAGGCAGATAATACTTGCAATAGCTATGCAGCTCAATGTAGGGTGCCTTCATATGATAAGGTTGTAGTTGGAATAAACGACTAACAGTACCAGGCAAGGACAAATGCAGCACAATTTATGCCACGGCCCTCACCAGTGGATCTTCAGACTCCTCGGCAGCCAGCACACAGTACAACAACTGTCTTGATTCTTTCAGTGTCTTCTCCACTAGAGAATCTTCATCTAACCTCGATTGGTAAGTAACATCAGATCAGACATCATGAAGTTCTCCTCGCTTCTTCGGTCCCCCTTTTCACACTTCGTGATTATGTTCTACCTCGCATATTACGCTTCGCTATCTTTATGCGCGACTTATGTCACTTGGTTCCTCGGAAGATTCTTTGTATTAAAAACATACTAATCTATTGATCTTATAGTGTATCCCAATTTTCGGCCTGCAGAGCCAATGGCACCGCAGATAACACATGTAACTCTTACACAGCACAGTGTAAAGTGAGTACCATTATTTCTTCACGTGAGCGTTGTCTACCGAGAACTTTTCTTTCCAAGTCTTGTGTATCCTTGCACGTCTCAAAACTCTCATTCAATTCACATCTTATTGTTCCCCTATCTTGATCTCCTTCCTGTCCGTTCATTCGAAGATTCACATCACGTGCAGACTTGACGGGTGCCGGTCATCGCGAAAAATCAAGTGGCACAGGCAGTTGTCCTTCTCACACCCCTCATCCCTTCTGCCCTTTAAGACAATGCCCCTTTCATTCTCGTTTCGAGAACCTATTGGAGTTTAGCAGTTTTATGACCTTTTACATTCACCCCGGCCGCTTCCTTGCTTGTTAAAAATAGACCTTTTTGATGACCAATGACTAACTTGACGTTTGTATAGGACAAGTGTAGTGGAATTTATGGAATTTGCCTTAGTAGTGGAAGCGCTGATGATTCATTATGCATGAATCAGTATAACAACTGCTTAGACTCCTTCACGCCTTCAACTGCCCTAGATTGTGTCAGCAGTTTCACATGTAAGCTAAACTGTTTATTGCTTCCATGATAGTCACCTATAACCAGCAACACAACTCTTCCGGATAGGCAATTACTAACTCCAAACTTTTACAGTATGCCGAAATGAAGGCGGCGAATCCAATACATGTGCTTCTGAATCAGCAACTTGCAAGAACGACGCCAGCATCAATTATTCCACATGTCTTTCTAGCGGTCAAGCTGATGAATCGGCATGCTTGAAACAATACGATGCAGCCCTTGTCCAATTCAACACTACCACCTTGTTGAATAATACCGACTGTGTTTCCAGATTCACCGAATGTGAAAATGAGGGGAATGAAGACAGCTTATGTCAAAGCAACAACGCTGATTGCAAGGTTCGTAAAGTTCCTTAACCTTTGCTATTTGGAAATTCCTTCTATCCTTCGATATGCACCGAGAATATCACTGACACCAAAATGTTGATGCAGACCGATTGTTCCACATCATATTCCACTTGTCTCAGTTCGGGTGACTCAGCTCTATATGCTCCTTGCTTGGAACAGTACAATTTCTGCCTTGTAACATTCGCCTGGGAAACCACCACTACCACTACTGGCCAGGACTGTGTTTCCAAGTATATGTCATCTACCGGAGAGGACAATGCTCGCAATGCTGAGGCAGCTCAATGCAAATCGTAAGTCTCAAACTTTAGTTGACATGTTATCGTAAGCCACAGTATACTGACTCTCTGGTTCTTAGTGCGTGCTCTACCAGTTATTCAACCTGTCTGAGCTCCGGTGACGAATCCCTCGAAGCGCCATGTCTTATGCAATACAACTCGTGCCTGGTCAACTTCAATTCCACCATTACCACCCCAGATTGTGCTTCTAGTCTCCTTTCTTGCGACGATGCTTCAAACTCTTGCGCTGCAGATGTAGCCAGTTGCAAAAACACGTGCTCCGTGGCTCTCGATATCTGTCAAAGTTCTGGTGATCCAGCCCTCACCGCAGGTTGTCAAAAACAATATCAGTCTTGCCTCGTTTCTTTCACATCTGCTACTGCTGCCATTGGAGAGGATTGTGTGGCTTCATTCACTGGATGTAGAAATAATGGTGGGGCTGACAATACTTGTTCTTCGGTAAGAATGATTCTCGTGAGAAATCTTGATTACGGAATATCACTAACATCGCCATAGGAGATGGCCAGTTGCAAAAACAAGTGCAGCTCCGTTTACGATATCACCGGTACTTCCGCTGACAACTCAACCATTACTGCATCCCAAGCGCTTCGACTCTATGATTCATGCCTCGTATCTTTCTCCTCCAACGACACCACTCCTACTGGTCAAGATTGCTCTTCCAAATACTACGCCTGTTCGCTCGCTGGTCTAGAAGCTCCAAATGTCTGTAACTCGGAGTACGCAACCTGCAAAAATGACTGCGCAGTCATTCTCGACACGTGCCGCAGTTCCGGAGACGAATCCCTCGTGAGTATGTGTGATAGTTTGTACAACGGCTGCTTGGATCCTGTTATGAGTAGCAACATTACCACGAATGCGACAGTTGCGATTAATGCTACAGCAACTTATGTTTTACCTACCAAATCTGCCTTCTTCAATTTGACCGGCGCATACTCAACAATTGTTAGTAAAGCGAGCACTGCGATTGCTAGTGCATACATTAGTGGGGCTCCATCGAGTGCGACAAATGGTACTGGACATTACACGCAAGCTACATCAGTATCCACTGCGGCAATCTCCACCGGCGTCAGTTCTGGATATTCTCTACCAGCAGTTACTATTTCCGCCAGCTACCCATTGAGCAATGCCACCTCCGCATCAAACAGCATTGCTTCTGCGAGCACTACTTCTGAATCAGCTATCACGATTGAGACTGGAAAATCGAGTGCAGTAGACAGAGCGGCTGATGAAAACATCAACGATGAAGGCGCTGATGATGATGCATGCGAGACCTAAACCCATAGATAGATGCTCGATTTGGTATATGTAATATTTATGAAGGCTATGAAATGGAGGATATGTTGAAATTGTATATTCAAATTGGAGGTTCTTTTTATCTCTAGCTTAAAGACGTTTAATGATAATTTTTGGTTACGCCTTTTGAAGTGATTGTCCTTGAGCAGTGTTGCCAAATTGTGTCTTGTAATGTTTCTCGAGGCGTGCTTGCTGTGATTGTGGATCAGGGTTGACAATCGTGATAGTACTCGAATTGCTAATTACGGAATTATCTGGCCTTCAATCATTTCAGCCGGCGTATGGAATTCAGTATCAAAAGGTCTTCTCGTCTCAAAGTGCTCGAGTGTTTTGAGAGAAGAGATGAAAAGCAAATGTCATTGGTGAATTTATAACTACCTACATAGGTAATCAAAATCATATTGTGTTCCCAGGCATCCCCAAGAAAGGTCTGATAAAACCATTACGCTGATTTTCAATGAAACCCAAATCAAAGGACCAAGGATATCTCGATCAAAATTCAATAATAGAGCCATCAATTCTGTGCTCTCCCCCCACTCTGAATCGTCTTGTATCTCTCATACGCCGCAATGAATTCATCTTTGAAATCCTTAACATTTGAAACCATTGCTTTCAAGTGTTTATAAGTAAGTTTAGGTCCCTTGCCTCCTGCTTCAGCTCGAGCAATCCCCACTGCACTCGTGACAATGTTGCGAATTTGTCTGCCATCCAATCTCATCTTCACCACATCATCTGTGAGCCATTCGGTGATGAATCTCATGTCATCAATCAACCCTTTTTTGTCAAGCGGCTGAAGAAATCCGTTGAATATAGCCAGTGTCTGGTCTGGAGTGAGTTCTTCGTATTTAAATGCTACATGAATACGAGACTTTATCGCCACGTCAAATTGTGCGATTTGGTTGGTGGTAAGCATGAGAATTCCCTGGTAGTATTCGAGAATGCGCAGAAATACTATATTCCACAGAGACTTAGCTCGGCTCGGTAGTGTATTGAGACTCTCCTTGAAATCAGATACGTACCGGAGACGAGCGAATTCTTCTCAACGTTACTGGCTGCCCCTTGTCCTCTGCTCTCAAGGAACACGTCTGCCTCATCGCTAGATTCCTTAGAATTTTTGAAATTTGGTCACACATTCGATAGATAAACTTACATGAGCAGTATAGCTTGCCAGGAACTAGCCAGCGAGAATATTTTGGCGAGTTTCTTTTCTACCTTCTTTGCTTTATCTCCCACATCTGCTACACTTATAGAGAATAGAGGCTTGCGGGCGGCAATGGCAACTGTCTCTGCGGTGGTTGTTTTACCTACCCCCGGTGGACCTAATATTAAAGGAACTTAAAATCACCATGTCAATACTTGAAGATGTGCTGGACTCACCGTATAGGAGAATAACTAATCCTTTCCCTTTATTGGCAACAATATCATCTACCTCCAGCTCCTGCTCTTCGCCTTCCTCCGATTTCGTCCCATGACTAGTCACCAAGTTCAGTATGATATTTTTGGTCAAATCTCCATCCTTTAAAACGAGCCTTTCAGACCATGAATTACGATAGTCATCCCTAGGAATGTTCTTGAGGCATGTGACTTGTAATTGAGCCCATTGTTTGTTGTAGAGGATGTAACCCAGAACCCTAGGCGGACATAACATATACTGCTCATCATGCCATTCGCCTTTCTGATGAGCTTCTTCATCGAATCTAGTTCTCAATTTCTCTCGAAGAGGAAGGTTCTTTCGGCACGCGTGGCATCCACATTCATCGACATTGGGTTGTGGTATCAATGCGCCAATCCGAGCGAAGGCCGGCCCATAGCGAAAGTAAGATTCAAAATCGATCATGACTCTACCTTCAATCTGATAAAGTTGACAGCCCCAGATATTTCCATCGGTGAATTGGTTCCTACATTAACCGACTTTGAATTCGCCGTACTCAAATCTGCTATGGATCTGTGTGTATGTTCCTGTATTCGGACGGTAATCGAGATGTATCGTCCTGGAAGCCAGTTAGAGTTAGATATGACTAAATTGCTAGCGAAATGGAAGCTTGAGGCAAACCCTGTCATCATCATCCTGAGCGTTTGAAAAGCCTCTCTGTTCAAATATTGCTGGTCCCCCATAATCAAACATACGGTCTGCATTATTGGACATGCAATAACCTCGAAATTTTCTGCCTCTCTCAATCAACCTTCTTTTCACACTCTCAACATCGTCATGAAACTTAAGTGGAAAAACGCTCAAGGAGGAGATCGCTTTCTGACCCTCGAAGGCCTCTATTTTAATTATTGCAGGGGATCGCTTGAATATTCTTCCATTCCAGTCGTATGACCAAACTGTGAGTTCCCAGTATCTAGGACGTGGATTTAGTGACCAAAGCCATTCGCTTTCGTAGACAAGAAATACTTGATCTTCGCCTTGGAAAAAGCGGCCATATACCAGGGTCCCGGGAGCGAAAATAGTCCAAAGTGTTTCATACGTCACTGTTCTTTGGTCCATGTTGGATTTACGGCTTTTGAGATACTTATCGAGTTTCGCATCCCCTGAGCCACTACCTATTGTTTCTAGAAGAAGTTTGAGATCAGCACGTGCTTGTTTCTCGACCGCATCTTCTACTTCTTTTTCCGCTGCGTTATTCAAGTCATCCCAGTACAGGACAAGAGGTTCGTAAGGAGAGTAAAGTAGCACTGGGGAGCCATCGAAAATATGGTCAAGCCAATGATTAAGAATCTGCTTGAGCAGATTCCATAGACCATCGCTTATCATTTCAACTTGGCTGTAGTTCCCCTCGTTCTGATCCGGATCGGCAATAATCTTTCTCAAAATAAAGGCTTGAGACTTTTCTACAGTATCGGAAGGTGCCGATAAAATGGGCTCGTTAGCAGGTTGGTCTTTATGCTCTCCAGTTTCCATGTCTATTCTGCTGATTACGACCTTTGCACGTGAAGGAGGATGACTCAGGTCAATTAACACTGGTGGCTAAATAATCGTTATTTTCTGTCAAGTCCAAGAAAGGATTTATTGACCTTACCACAGTCTTTTCCATCCTGTTACCTTGAGTCATGGTACATGGCGGAATCTAACTCACAGATTAGCTTTATCCAAAATAACCGCACTGGAACTCAAAGAAGCCATACTAGACCATTCCCGTCGGACGCTACTATTTTCAAAGTGCCTAAGGCAAGTGATTTGGAAATAGAACTCTCTTCCTGGAGTTTGTTGAAACGTTCTTCCAACCCCGAGTACTTTTCCTCCAGAGCAATGAACTTCGCCATCAGAGGCTACGTTATGTCCGAAGTCAGCATTATACCCCTTGAATTAAAATGTTAAAACATCTCCAAATGGCCAAAGCTTACGGCTAGACTGCCAGGCAAATCTTCCTTCCCCGCCATCTTGTTTAAAGTAAAGGGATATGTCGTGGTTCTTTCGCGATCAAGGTTCCTGTGTTCTGACTCCTGGCTTCGGGCCTCCCTGATTCGGGGTCCTGTCACTTAATATAAGGATATTGGGCCACTGTCAGAATATGATTCTACTCTCTCAAAAATATCTGGGCGTCGTAGACAACGATTTCCCAGGTCGAACCCACAGGCTGTGGGCTACACAGCCTGCTGCAATGCTTTGAGCCGTACAATGGTTTCACCAAATAATTAATGACTCTTTACCATAAGCTTCAGATTCAACAAACGAGGCTCGGTGTGATTAGAAAGACGTCAATGTAACCTTAATACTTGGAAATGATTCCTTTGGTTGGTTCATCTTGATTTTAGGAAGTGGTGCCAGGTTTTCACCAGTCAGCACTGTCATTCAATAATCTGCATGTACGTCTGGCCGCATAGAATATTAGAGCGCGAGGCTCTATGGTAAAATGGAATAAAGTTGCAGTCCTTGGCAAGTGGCCAGTAGTTACGGGGCAACAAAAGATGACATTGATCCTTTTTGTGCCACCGTCTGGTGTAGTAGAAGAATCAGACTTCAGTATGCCGATCTCAGAAAATGCAGTGCCTCAATCTGAACGCCCTTTTCTTTCTTTTTATGTAATTTTCCGATGATCTGATGACCGTTCATTACGATGGCTCATGCCTTCTAAAGTATTTTTAATAATCAGTCCGTATTCATTAAACGTATTGAATTAGGTTCTGAAGTAGCCTGATGATCCCTTCCCAAATTACAAGGCAGATGCAACTATGTGATCGTTGCACGAGAATAGCTCGCAGTGTGATAAGGCTATATATGCAGTAATAGCTGCTGCGGTGGCCAAAAACACAATCCTTCGAGCAAAACGAGTCAGGGTCGACCAAATCATTTGATCTAAATATTTTGCTTTGCATGTTCTAAAACCCTCTCCAAGATACAAGATCTAGTCTCATATTACGAAACTTCATTGCAGATGGGCAGCACGATGGCTCATACATCACCTCAAACAGGGAAACGACTTCGTGAAGCAGTCCGGTGAGCAATCGCGTACGCCTGCCCAGGGAAAGATATATTAACAAGCGAAGAAATAAAATTGAAGATCTGGTAAACAAACAATCGCAATTTAGAGTCTCTGTATTGAGAAGCAAGAGATACTTCAAAATCGAGAAAGAAGCCGTCAATATAAGTTCAAAAGATAGATTCGATAGTGTTTGGAATCAAGTCAACCATGAGAAGACAAGGTTTGACGAGAATTACGAGAAGGGTTGTGGATTAATCTCAAAGAAATGTCAGGATACGAGTGTTGCTATGCAAGACTTCATGAAAAAGTTTGCTCCAATATTGGAAATCATCAAGACTTTTGCCAGCCCTTATGGTACCGTCGCATTTGGCACTATTTCTATCCTTTTCGTTGTGAGTTTTGCCAGCCCTGGAAGTATTTCAGCTAATCTGAAATGATTCAAAGATTTCTCAGAGTAAGCATGAATTAGAACAGCAAGTTGGGTCGACCATATCCGCGATCAAAGATCGTTTACCCGGTCTGCAAGTGTATCAGCATATTTACACCGACAAGAAAGAACTTGATGTCAAGCTGCAAGGACAAATCGTCATGGCTTATCAAGAGTTTATTGAGTATTGCATTTTGGCCACAAGATACTATAAAAAGTTACCAATAAGTGAGTAAAACGCTGTATCATCGCTTTCTGTCAAAACACAAGAGTAATTCCATTAGAAAGGTGGCTTAATGCCATTGGATCGCCAAGCTACCAGAAACAGGAAGACTCAGTGAAGAAGGTTATCACAGAAATTCGGCTTTCGTGCGAGGAACTTCTGCACAACAGGGTTTTCGAGATCAAAAGAATCAATGAAACAATTCTTCTGGAAAATAAAGTTATCCTTGATCACCCTAGCCAAACTGAAATACACTGACCAGACAAGACCAGACTCTAAAGTTGGAGGACCAAAACATCAAATTGAATGAGATGACTAAACGCATCAAAGGCAAGCCAATACCTCAAAAGTTCTGTTAAAAATCACCTAACAAGCGTGACGAAACACAGAACTACAGAAAGCAAAACAAGACGGTCGAGTACGAACCTTTCAGAATGCTCTAGAGCTCAGTTCCTTCTCCGCAGAATCTCACCGCGACAAGTTTGAGAAGTACTGCGAAGATCTGAATTCAAACAGACAACTCAATATGCACTATCTCCAGCACATGCAGGGCGAAGAACTCCGATCATTCAAAGCAGGTTTCGAATACCAAGCGTGGAAGGTTTCCGAAGAAGCCCAGATCCTGCTTTTGTGGGGCTACAATAACAATAGCATCCTGCAGGAAGTCGAATGCTGGCTATCCCCCATAGCGACGTCTACGATACACGAGCTTAGCCAGAACGGGTGCTACTTGGCTTACGATATCGTGATAGATGGAAAGCGCGCCCATGAAGTTCTCTCTTTAATTCTTCTTCAACTTCTGAGATTCAAGAGTGATACTCTAAATGATGAAAACCAATACTCAGAGTTGAGTGGAGACCTAGAAACATACCGTCTTTTCGGCGGTGAAGGCAAACATTCAAACGAGAACAGCGAAGCGGAACTCAATGTCCTGCAGAATATCGCAGCACGAATCATAGGTTTCTTTGAGCCTTCCGAAATAGTTTACATTGTCATCGATAGGGTGGACCGATGTTCACGGAATCCACCGAATCATCGAAAAGCGTTGTTGGATGCGTTGGTCAAAATGGTAGAAGCTGCAGATTGTAAGCTGAAGGTTCTAACCGTGATCAATGGATACGATTGGGACTCGCGTTATTATGACCTTGAAAATAGGAGGGGTAAAAGGTGTGTTATGGAACAGGCGTTGAAGTTCTGAGTTTTTTTTCGGTGGTGACTTTTGATTTTTTTTTGTTATGAGGGTCCTAATAAATAAAGCAGTCTGATAGATCTCGCAGATTTTCTGCTTCATAAACCTCCTTTCATAATCTTTTTAGGTATAATAATAGATAATGAACTCTGAGCCGAATATGACCTTACGTTGAATATAGAGATTGACAGCAATGCAAGCAATGGTACAACAGCCAATTTCACGCCCTCCTAACACCTCATCAATCTTAGGGTGGATAAAATACATTTCCTATAGGGTTCTTACACTTGCAAGAATTGGGATTGCTCTTCTTCTCTCCATACACTATTTCGCGATAGAGTCGGTCAAAAATTTAACAAATACCATTTTCAAATCACAAGGGAGTAGATGACAGCCCCGAAGAACTATGATGGATCTCTCGAACAGATATGTAGAATGAATGTCATCTTACTTTTGCAAGTTCAAGAGCTCAGATTGAGAACGAGCATAGGAAAACGCGGGGGTAGCATCTAATATTAAATAAGAACTGTTATGCAAACAAGCATCTACATTCTGTCTTTTGAATTCCACTTTACTATGGCGATGAAAACGGCAACCTGGTCCGGCTAATGGGTTCGAAAATGGTAATTGCGCTTGTCAGGATGAATCCTGTAAATTGGATTTGCAGGTATGCAACAAAGTCATAGAATTCAACTTCATTGGGTCTGATTGGGAGATTACTGGCCATGATAGATGTATCTGCCAAGATTAAGAAAGAACAATGAACCATGACTAATAGAGTTAGTTCGGATCGGCGAAGTGTGTAGATCAGGCGTGTATACTGAGTGTGTACTGCATACTACCGTAAGAGTAATTTCAAGAGCTGGGCTCAGCAGAGGCGGAATGGGGCAAAATGGGGGCAATCTGGGACAACGTTCGGCATTCAAATGGTCGAGTATTTTCACTTGATGCCAGGCGATTCTAAGTTCCCTTGTGCAGAGTGTATCGACTTGACAAACTTTCAATTCGCATTGCATCAAACAGAACACTATTGTCTAGATGACCATATCGCCTTGTGACTTTGATGCTTATTAGTGGTATAAAATTTGGAGAGCCTGGGTCCTAGTATCACTCAAAAGATTCCGCTCTGATTTCGACAAAGCAATCTAGAAGGATAAGAAGAACATAAATTAGCATAGACCATTATTCTGTTCGAGTATACAATTGGACGAAACAAAAGACAAAGGTGGAACTCCGTTTCTGGCATTTTTAGCGAAAATCTTGAGCGCGTGAATTCTTTGTAAGTTGGAAGAGAGAAATAGAGGTCTTTAATATCGACACTTTTCTCGGGTGGTTCATATGTGAGTATTTCAGCATTCATCTTTGACTTCAATTATTAGACAACTGGAATCAAATTCAAGGGAAGAGCGCATCCACAATTTCCCAAAGTAAATGATTCCCCCAATTTTTAAACATCACCATGGGGGCGTTACCTCAGTATAAGGGTCAATCAAGACCGGATGTCTATCTCACAAAGTTAGTTCAGGTTATCTAGAAATCTTATTTTCCTTCTGTTGTGTATCATTCCAAATACAAAGATTGGCATGCAAAATGGACTAACTCATCGTAAAAGGCCCAAAAATATGTCGCCTTCAGATATGCGCCAGTATCTGACGAGCCTCCTTGTTCAAAACCACCAGTGTGATGTTGAGGACGCGAGAGAGATCGCGTCTTATTGGGTGTATGGCCGGGGATCAGACTTCTATCAGTATGATTTGGATACCTTTAAAGACATGTTTGGAGATGAGATAGGGATGTTGTTCTTCTTGTATTCGAGGGGTCTTACACCAGGTGGAAGGTTAAAAGACAAACATTGGAAATTATGGCTTTTTCTTGCCGTCTGTATTTTTGTTCTTTTCAGTTGGAATCGACATTCTGGAAATTTTGAAGAAAATTAAAGAAGATCAGTAGAAACATTCATACGATATACTGCTTCAACTCATTTAGAGTCTGCGATGTATTGATATATACTCATTGTATTCCAGCTGCCAGATTGAGCAATCAAAGATGGCTTGATCTACCGTTTGGAGTGTTTCGTGTTTATTGAAAGAGAGCCCTGCAGTGTTTTTCTGTCATTACTTTTTGCTCCTTGCCTAGCTAGGTAAGTGGCAGTTTTATACTAATCGAAAAATAAGATATGCAACAAAAGAGCAGGTCACGAGAATTTCAAATACTGGTTGTTGATTGGTCTTGAAGACGTGAACAGTCTGTTACCGAAATTGTGCCGAGTATGGTATTTTGTGTTTTGATGAAGATGACTAAGGCAAAATCTTAAATGCAGAATCTCCTTGATGATTGCAATTGACACATTTATTACTCAAAAATCTAATCGAGTCTTTTAAGCTTGAAATACCACGGCCACCCCCTGAATGTTCACAAGGAGCTCAGTGTTATGCATTCTTCCTCCAGACTACTTGTGTCTTCTCCAAGATCCTGAAGAATTCCTGCTGCGAAAACACACATTTTTCACACCTCATACAATGCGATCTCTGTTGTAAGCTGCGGATGGACGAACAAATCTTAGGTACACCTCTTCTCTAATGTCAGTGTCTAGAGGTGCATGAGAGACTCACCGGAAGGTGGTGTAATTTGATCAAAGAGTTGGGCTTCGGCTGCTGCCTTTGAGTATGGATTTTATGGTAGATTGTTTGACCTAATCATGCCTGACATCATTGTCTACAGAGCCTTAGGAATAGTTTCGCAGACTGCATTGAAGACTTTGTTTTCACTGCAAGTAGTTTACGCGATGAGAAACCAAGTCATTGAACTAACTTTTGAAGGTCTTCGCATACATCATCAAGTCTGTAGACGTCTCCGTACAAATAGCATCAGTACACGTTCTGGATCGTGGTAATTTATTAGAGGGTCTCGCTACCACTGTGAATTCACGCATCCATTGTATCTATATGAGCAGTCAGATTCTAAGTAGTGGTTCTTTGCAGCTGCTGCTTGTTTTTTGAACAACGTTCAATATACAAAGACTTCTTCATGTGTGCTCATGTTTGTGTTTTGTATCGATATCTTGTATAAATCTCCTTTCTGAAATTTCCAGCACTGTCTCTCAGTTCTGCACAGCTGATATCGATTTAAATCTCTATTCCTTCCGCGGTTCAAGAATTGCGAATGGATTCTATGCAGAAGCGTAGAAGATAATGTTGATTGTCTTTACTTTTCCTGTACCTTGTCCCACTGCCATCCCGACAAATTTATCTAATTATCTACCTAATCAAGGATTAGAAGAGAGTGATGCCATTAGCATTATACAGACAATTTGGCACCAAGTGGCTCTCTGTCAACTCGCTGGTGCAATTTCTTGTTCCTACAGGGTCTTCGCCTCTTTCCTAAGATCTGTTTTCCTTATTTAGTCATTTCTTCTTCGCAACTTGCTTGGTGCGATTCTGGCTCTAATTTGCTCCTGTCAAAATGTGTTTTTGCTCGCTCCAATCAATCAATCATCACGACCTCGGGACCGTCAAGCTTTCCTACTCTGTTTCATGGTGTGGCTGACATGAAGTTTTCTTTGTGCACGTGTTTCTCAATTTTGGTGTAACATTAACACGTGACGCGGGGTGGTTTGCACTGCTGCCTGCACCGCCTCGTCACCCTCTCTTTTCGATTATAAATATCACTGCATGATCCCCCAGTATTCAGAAATCCATCACTCACAATATTTTCGTTCATCATTCTACAGAAATTCCCTTAATTTTTGGATTTATTAAGCTGCACCTTCCATATTCTCCTATCCTTCATAAAACACCTTGTCTTCCATAACTTCCCATCTCCACCATGTCTGGAGGAGTTTTCTCCGAGACACTTCAATCCATCACTACTACAAAGCTTACTGAACTTTCCAAGAAGCGCCATCATTTCGAAAGCCAAAAGGATGCTCTCTCCGACAAACTAAGCAATGAACTCGACCAACGAAAAAGGCTCAAGATATTATTGGAAGGTGTGAAAGAAAGCTTCGCAATCACGACCTCAGTTGCGAAAAAGCGTAGTCACGACAGTAACATCAAATTATCTCCGCTTGAACTGCTTGTCAAGAATCTCGAGAAGTTTATCGCACAAGCTGAATATGATCCATCCATCTCCGATAAGACTCTAGAGCAGTGGGAAAAATACTTGGTACGCCACATTGATGTGCAATCATCAAAACACCAGTATGCGACTTTGTATGGCGAGTTGGTTACAGAATGGCTTTCAGCGGAGCAGAAACAGAAAGCTGTGGAAGTTGCCAATGATACTTTGGAAATCGATGAGGAGTTTCAAAAAGTCAAGAAGGAGAGCGTTGCTAGGACTGAGGGACGAGCAAATTGGGAAGATTTGGTCTTTCAACCCTTCGAAACCGATCATAAGGCAATCACGACATACCTGACTACCTTATTTGGAATGGATGGGAAGAATGGGCAAGCGAAGAAAGCCTTGATTGCTCTACGAAAAGAAGTTGAGACATTCGGAAATACCTTATCTGCCCCAGGCCAATTTGATCCTACTGTTTTACGTTGGACTATCAATGGCCTTATATCTTCCGGTCTTCTATCAGAGGAAAAGCGTGCAGCGCTAAAGGATTTCCTTGCCAGTCCCGTCATTCTTACAGAAGTCGCAGATGTTCTGAACATGCGTCTTGCATCCATAGATATCTGGGAATGGAACAGGGACATTGCTGTTGAGCAAAGACGTCACCTTAATGGTACGCATCATATGTTCATTGACGAAGATCTCCTAGAAGCACTGTTCCTTCAATATATTGGTGTTAAATGGTCTGTTTTCTTCAAAAAAGCCTTCACAGGTTTCTCCGATTTCGATGGAGCATGGTCAAAACTGAACAAACCTATTCCCCCAATTGATAAGGCAAGAAGAGATTTCTACCTGGGACCATCATACACCCGTCAGGGAAGTGTTATGGAGAAGCGGGAGGAACTTTATAAATCCATATACTTCATGTCTCAGCTTCCCGATTCGGAACAAGGTGAGCAAGCAGATCAGGACGGAGTCGAAGAAGCCAATTATAATATGGTTGAACTCTCCAGACCGGTGATGTCTCTGAGGCAGGAACCAGCTATGTATCGCCGTAGCCTTGTGCAAACACAGCAAGCACAGCAAGCTCCGCCTCCTGCGCCCAAGAGAAAGAGAGCAAAGATGCAGGCACAGGCAACTGGATTCAATCCCGCTGCAAGTGTACTTGCAGATTTTGATTTTGATTCGTTTCTGAACGCCAATGAAGGGGATTTCGATGATTTGCCAAAAACGCCAATGGAGATCAAGCAATTCATACTTCATTTACTGTCAACTGAGATTATCATTAATACAAAGGTTCATGGCGAGATAAGCTGTGCTCGCTCCGAATTTGAGTCATTTGGTCCATCATTGCCACATTCCACCATTTTCTGTGTTCTCGAGTTCTTTGGTTTATCCGTAAAATGGTCGAGATTTTTTCAAAAGTTTCTTGAAGCTCCACTGAAATTTGTCGATGATGATATATCCGCGGAAGCTCGCATTCGGAAGCGTGGTGTTCCCGGAGCTCACGCTTTGTCTGCTGTTTGCGGTGAAACCATTCTTTTCTGTCTTGATTACGCTGTCAATCAAAGCACAGATGGAGTTCAACTTTACAGAATGCATGATGACTTTTGGATTTGGTCGCCTTCTCACCAATCTGTTGTCAAAGGATGGAATTCAATTCTTCAATTCTCAGAAATCATGGGAGTTACGATTAATAAAGGTAAAACCGGCTCTGTACGCATCACATCTAGTGGATCCAAGCAGCCGATGGACCCTTCTCTTCCTGTCGGAGACATTCGCTGGGGCTTTCTCAAACTGGATCCTACCACCGGCCACTTTATCATTGATCAACCTATGGTCGATCAACATGTTTCAGAACTTCAATCCCAGCTCCGTGATAAGAAAAGTGTCTTCTCATGGATCCAAGCCTGGAATACTTATGCCGGTCGCTTCTTCACCTCAAACTTCGGAAAACCATCGAATTCCTTTGGTCGTGCACATGTTGACGCTATGCTATCAAGTTTCCGACACATTCAAAATCTGATCTTTACCAATACAAACGTGGTTTCATATCTCAAAGATACTTTGAAAGAGAGATTTGGGATCGACAATGTCCCCGATGGATATCTTTACTTCCCAACTAGTCTTGGCGGTCTTGAGTTGCACAATCCTTTCATTGGGCTTTTGCAATTACGAGATGGGGTATATGAAACCCCGGAAACGTTGATGGATAATTTCTTCGAGGCGGAGATTGAAGCATATAGAGTGGCTAAAGATAATTTCGAAAAGAGAGCTCCTCAAGTCAATGTGGCAATGGCGCGTCAGTGGCAACTCGACAATCTCAATCTCCCTGGTCTGCAAGAGTTTATGTCTTTCCAAGAATTCACCAGATATAGAGAAAAATCTGTTGACTCTTGGGAAGGAACTCTAGTTGGGGTCTTTGAGGATCTACTCAAGCAACCAAGCAAAGAATCGGCAGATTGGGATGAGTCTGATATGATTCAGGCAAAGGCAATTGAAGGTGGCTTCTCTTCGGTGTTTGAGGGATTGGATATGGGATATTGGAAATGGGTTGTGAAGCTTTATGGAGAAGAAATGATAGAGAGATTTGGAGGATTGGCTGTTGTGGACAAGGGGTTGTTGCCCACCGGGATGGTTAATTTGGTAAGAAGTGGAAAGGTTCAGTGGCAGGGTTGATTTGGAAACTAGGAGGGATTTTTGGAAAATTCATCTGAAATGATTTAATGAATATTTCTTTGCATAGGTATTTGAATGATGATGAATTACTCAGCGGGTTTTGGAAGAACGATGGTATGGAAAACTAAATTGCTAAAAGAATTTGGAGGACATAGAGTGTATCTCAATTCAACTCGATCAGAAAATGGAGACTATTCAATCTAATTCGAACAATCATTTGAAAAGCTGATTATAGCTACCTAGTTCAATAAGAGAATGCAGAGTTTCTCATTCATTTATGGACTCCAGTGAAAGCACATGTCTTTGGTGAGCCTTCCACTAGTACACCCGCATCCCCTCCCATCCATTATATCCGCAGTAGACAGGGACATCACGATAGCCATACAACAAACCATTCAATACTACGGAATTAAATTTTAATATCCGATACATTCAACAAGTGTTAAAGTCCGCATCATCCTGCAGTCAGTAGTAAGCGCAGAATTTTTAACCGCACTTCGGTCCTCTGCTTACTCCGACATCTTCCAAGGTGTTCGTTGATGCCCGTTGGTGCGAGCGAACCAATCAGATTGAAATATGAGGTTCAGAGGATCGGCAAGTTTGGAGAGAGATTATCCGACTTAGGGTTCATTGTTGTATGATTGCGGTAGTTCACGATTGATCCTTTGAAAGAGGTTGGAGTAGAGATTGGAGATATAAAGATGTAGTGCTAGTGTCTATTCAGATTCTTTTCGTTGCACTTTATATCACAATTCGCTCATGCTTCCTCCATTGATCCTTTTCTACGGACTTTTTACCTTTCGCAAACACCCAAACCCCCTCCAAATCGATAGCGCAGTTGTTCTCATATATATCATCAGAAAATATATATCACTGCCATAATGAGTCCTCCCGCATCAATTGCCCCTCAACCAAATGTTCCAGTCCACTATGTCAAAGCAGAGACAGGGGAGGTCATCACGTTGGGAAATGTCAAATTGAGAGTTTTAGAAGATGGGAGTAGGACTGGTATGTATTTCTTCTTTACGTTTTCTCTTGGACTACGTATAAGTTCCCGCCTGTGTTTGGGTTTGAAGGAACTGGTATGGGAGATGCGTGGAGTTTATCCGTAGTATGATAAGAGAAATATAATAAGAAATTAACAAAAATGATAGACAACCGGATTTCGACCGTTGAGGGCACTCTTCCCGTGGGTCTAAAGGGGCCGCCAGCTCACTGGCACGAGATGCATGATGAATGCTTCTTGGTTACGAAAGGGGGTAGGCTTTCTTATTTTCTTGCTCACTCATTCCCTTCGTCTTCTCGCATCCTACCATCACCTCCCCATGACCCACTACTTCCACTCCAGCTTTACTAACGCCCTCAAGTAATAACCTTTCAAGTGCCCGCCAATCCCTCAACCGGCGAATCCGAGAAGAGAATTGATGCAGGAGTAGGGGATTATGTGGTTGTGCCTCCCAGAGCTCCTCACACATTTAGCAATGAGACGGATGAGGAGGCGAAATTTGTTAATACTTTTACTCCGGTATGTTTTAGTTTTTACATGGCTTGTGTTTTATCGCTACCTGTGGTTCTTGCTTTAGGGAGGGGCTTTATTGGGAGAGAATGATGGAGTATAATTGGAAACTTAAAAGGGGAGAAAAGGAAGAGGAGGGGAAAAGATGGGAATTATATGGGTAAAAATTCGACTGACGAGAACCCAGGCATTCTACATCCATTACTTCAAACTCCTGGCTAAGATGATGGAAGAAGGAAAAGAATTGACTCCAGAGATGAACATGGCAGCTATGGCCTATTGTGCTACGATTCCCGTGCCAAGGAGGAACTGAGGTGACGTCTTTGAGTACATGTTTCGGAGGTTCGGATTCTGGGGATCGTGGTCTCTCGGTTGTGGAGAATCTATTATTTGATGAAGTTGAAGATTGTTTCAGAAAAATTTACGGGGTTATCAATGATGGCTATGACTTGGAAACTGTAAACTTAACAGACTTCTCATATACATTCTGATTCTTTACGTGCATGGCTTCTTTAGACCATATCCAGCGGCGGTATTGGAATCAAGTGACTTCAAATTCCTCATCAGCGATTCAAGTTGTTCTCACTTATATCATATCATCTCGATTAGAGGAAAAGCTTGCTTTATACTTCACAAAGAGGTTATCACGAGTCGAACTTAAATAGTACGAGTATACAACAAGACTATACTCCAGATATTCACTTAGACCCCATCTAGCGCAAGTACATACTATATAAATCGAAAACCTAAACCAACGTCCAACCACAAGAATACTTCCTTTCAAGAATGGACTGAAACCTTTATGTAGAAAGGGTCAACTGGAAGCCAGCACAAAAAGATCGTGCAAGTTGGGCTTAATTATTGAATCGCAATTTTCCGAATCCGCCGTGGTAATTGTCATTGTCGACAGAGAGAACACAATATGCTTGAGGATGGGAGTTCGCCGTCACTGGGAGAGATCATTGTCGCGATACTGTTCCATAGGTACTTACCGCAAGTAATTATCTTCGTGTAAATGACAACATGATTCTAACGTATCCAGATATCTCACATTCCAGATCCTCAATACGAGAATCTAAGCAAGAGGCAGTTACCGCTCCAGTGAACACAAATTTCCATCTCAACCTCCATTCGCTAACTACGGAATTCTTCCCATCACAACCATTGCAGCTCTAAAATCACGAGAAGTCCACCCAATTTATACACGGTGATTCACTCGGCTATTTCTCCATAACACTCTCCATTTCCTTCCGCCACACTTCGCGTCAAGAGTAACTTACATGTAAAATCACCACTCGCTCCGAAAGCCAAAATTCGCAATAATTCATCTGCACAACTCCCATTCTCCCTCTGTCCCCCAATATGCTCACCCCGCAGGAGTATAAAATCCCTTTTGCACCCCAGCTTTCAAGATCCATCCCGAATATATGACATCAACCAAGCCTCTCAGGACCGTTTTTTGCTTTAAAACTACTCTATTCTCAAGCTCAAGAGAAGGATTCAACATCACTAAACAGTATAATCATTCAAGATACAGAGTACATATCATATTTCCTTTGATGAAAATCTTAAAATGTGACAATAAAACTTCCCGTTATGAACAACAGTATTCGAGGAGGTAGAGTCGACTCGACGGTCACGATTAAAAATGACGATGAGGGAAATGAAATGTAAGAAGCTAATCCCACACACATGAATATGCGCCATATTTTCAATTCTCGAATTCAGAATATATTCCCATGATTGCTGAATAATTTCTATCTTGAACTGGACATGACACTTTGAAAAACCGAAACCACATGCTTTACTTTATATAGGTACCTAGGTATTCAGCATCAGAAACTTTCGCATCCTTCCGTCACCGGATGTGGTAAACGATTCGATCTCAGATCACCATGTCCCATTAGCATCACAATCGACTTCCATTCCTTGTGTCGTCACCACCACCACACCGCGCATCGCGCTTCTCACGTATAAACCCGTCTACATTTCCGCGAGTGCCCCTTCCCTGTTGGTCGCAAAGTTGACTCCCTTATCAACGTAGAGTATAAATTCCCATCAACCACCTACCTACTAGGTACCTACCCATCATCCCCGCATAAATACACAAGAACCAGATCATAAGTCCAAAGTATTGTAAGATCTTATATAATACAGACATCTCTTCAGATTCCACGAAACCTCGTCAATCAAACTCAAACTCAAACTCAGACTCAAACTCAAACTCAAACTGAAACTCAAACGAGGCAGGTAATCTTCACATATTACTTATCTAATAATAAGTTGTAAGATTACCAAACCAGAAGTACCTAAGTAAATCAGCATATTACTAAACCAACCCATCATCATCAACAACAAAACCCTTTCCCAAGAAGAGATGATACCTATTCTCACCACAAGACTGCTTCCCATCCTCAATTCTCGAAATCGAAATCGAAATCGAAATCAATATCAACCACAAACCTCAGATAGGATAACCCCCCCTCCCCCCTCTTTTCTTGCCCCCAAACCCAAACCCATCTTCAACCTCTCCTCTCCTCTCCTCTCCCCTCCCCTCCCCCCCTCCCCTCTCCTATAAAAAACGCACGAAAAACACACGAAAAATACAAGAATAAGAATAAGAATAAAAATAAGAATAAAAACAATAAAAAATAATAATACCAACATAAAATCGCCGTAGAATCATCACATTCATCTATCCATCTATCCCATCCATCCATCTATCCCATCCATCCATCCATCCATCTATCCCATCCATCCACCCCCTACTAACAAAAACTAGATATTCACCATTAATAATCATTACGATTTATTAAAGTACCTAGGTACTGCTAGATATTTGCTTTTTTAACCTTGACGATTTCCAAAACATTTCTCTTTCTATTAATTGATATTCTGATTCGAAAATTTAAAGAGAGGTAGATAAAGATAGAGGATTTTCACTGATTTTCATATCAACTGGTCAAAAACACAGGGAAAAAAACATTGTAAAACTACTAGTCGATGAATATAAATATACACGATATCAACCGCGTGCGAAAAAGTTGAATACTAGGTATTTTCTTTCTCATTTTTATTTAATCTCTTCTCTAGAATTTTCTAAACCTGGATGCTGGAAAAAACCCCCCAAAAAACAAAAACTCGCTATGCAGTACGCAATACAAAAGACCAAGCTATGCTAATATCTATGACGTTTCATTCCGTGTCATGAATCATGATAAAATGCTCTCCATCGTAAATCGATAAATTATTCATCGTCCCTGCCAGACCCATCTTTTCCAAAAATTATTACCACCTCATTCTTCTCAATGAAGATCCTTCGTCCTCTCCTCTGCCTCACTCATCCATTTCTCCAACTTCCCTTGATCCCTAACCTTGAAACCCACCTTGAATGGATAAGGATCTGTTGTCAAACTAGTTTTAACTGCATTACATTCCAAAGCATCCAGGATCGGCCTATCCTTTGGATCTTTCGGAGCCACAATTTGAAAGGCAGTGAACAATCTAATAAAAGCAGTGAAGAGTTCTCTATTCGCAAGATGTGAACCTGCACACATGCGAGAACCGGCACCGTAAGCATAGTGAGGTGTACCGCCGCCTTCGAGATTATCAAGATAGCGATCAACGGAGAAGGTATTGGGGGATTTGAAGTGGGTAGAATCGTAGTCAGCGGCCCATGCGTTCTAAAGAAGCGTTAATATGAGTCGGAAGTCTTTGAAGTTAAAAAGGAAGCTTACCATGTAAAAAGTAGTACCAGCTGGAACAGTAGCCCCGTTGTATTCAATATCTTTGATACTGGTTCTTGGAAGACAAATAGGAATAACAGTGAAGAATCGAAGAACTTCGCGAACGAAAGCAGTAACATATGGAACTTTTTCTTCAACAAGACAACGTTCCCATGCATCTCCATCTGGGTAAACCTTCATAATTTCTTCATATGCTCGTTGTTGAATTTCTTGACCGTGTTCAGAGGAAAGATATGCAATACCCATGATCAAGTTACCAGGAACTGTATCGAGACCAGCAGAAACCATTGTTAGACAGATGGATTTGAGTTCATCTGAGGCGGGTTAGTGTGTTACACAATTGATAGATCTCAGTAAACTTACTCTCATTCAACTTTGCATCAGGATCCTTGATAATGTTTCCAGTAATACAAGGATTGTCTGTTCCTTCATCGATTTGTTTCTTGAGTTTGTTCAATAAGAAGTTCAAGTATTTGTCTCTTCTTTCTCTATATTCGATAGCCTCGGTGTTCGACTTTGGTAACAATCTCAGTAAGGGAATGTAATCCTGCCAGTTATTGCTCGTAGATCTGAAATTGCTAACAGCTCTTTCCACATCACAAATTTCCTGAAGTAAATCCCTGTCCTTGACTTCGTGAAGTCTTGATCCATAGTTCAATGTTAAAGAAGTGTTGAGAGCAAATCTTTGAAAGTAAGAGATAGGATCGATATCAACTTGACCGTTCTGACTATCATTGAGTAATTCTCTGATGGAAACCTTAGACTCAAGATCGATGATTGGCATATAAGATTGAACAGCCGGACGATTCAGAGCAGTAGCTGCAGCCTTTCGTCGTTGTTTGCAAGACTCATCCCAAGGAGAAGTACCAATGGTGAAACCTTGAGAAGTAGACACGACACTATGGAATGTATGAAGAGTAGGACGAGAGATCAAAGCCGATTGATTGGTAACCCAGAAATGGCGGACCGCATCGAAAGTGTTGACGAATACAATTCGCTATTTACCATTAGTGAGACATTTCCGCGGAGATGGTGAGATGTCTTACCCTATTTCCCAATCTTACTTGGAAGACAGCACCATACTTTTCAGCCAATCTTTTGGCTACCAATGCATGAGAGACACCAAATTCTAGAAGACTTCCAAAGAGAGGGTATCCAGGAATTTCCGGTAGATTCTGAATCTTTGGGGTATCTGTGCGATTGAGGTATCGAACAATGAAGAAAACCGTGGCGATAATCGCAATGCCTATGGTTTCAGGAGACATTGTGGTGATGTAGATGATATTGACGAAGAGAAGGAGGAGGAGGAGGAGGAGGAAGAGGAGGAAGAGCAAAGTAAGACAGTCAATGTGAATGAAGGTAAGAGTGTAGAAGAAATGGACGATATATAATGAAGTCCAAGCAATAAGATTCTATTCCATGTCTCATCTGTGAGCCCATTTTTCCAAACTTGACCTTGCGGAGAATGAGTCCCAGTTTCCAGGCTTGACCGTACGAGCTGTAAGATATTACCAAGTTCATCGGGAAATCGTGAATGCATCTTCAAGTTTGAGAATAATGGATGGTGATTGGTTCATGGTGAGAATGTGTGGAGAGATGGGACCCGATCGTACAGCCCCAGATGTTTATATTCCGCGCGGGTTCCCTTCCGTGCCTGAAAATATGGAGATGAGATCCAGAGTGAAGAAAGACTTGAAAGCATAATGATCAATCATGAAGTTTGTATGGAGCGAAGGTTGAGTTAGTCTAGAATCATCTGAATTGACTTTGTTCTGCAACTTTAGTGCAGATGGTCACGACGGAATCAATTCCGTTTGAAGAAAATGGTGAATGAAGAATTGTGATGACTAATCTTGGCTGTTCATATTCACCCCGCATGCGGAATGGATTGATTTGCTGACCCCGATGTTTTGGAATCCTATCGGCTGTACGCGGGGAAAACAACTTCGTCATGAGCGGTATAACAATTCATGGAATGTTTTGCTCGATTGATAAAGATTCAAAAAGGATTTCGCAAACTTAATTTTAAATTTAATATCTTTCACAGCTTTCACACCTTCTCAAATATCCCAAGCCATTTCGAACAATAAATTAATTCCATATATACCATCACAGGCAATTCGAAATGCCCGTCACAAAATTCAATACACCGGAGAAGTATAAATATCAAAATGGTTTCGGCTCATATCATGAGTAAGCTTATATTCACAACCCCTTCATCACTTTTCGCAATTTTTCTAATGCTTTCGCAGATCCGAAGCTGTCGAAGGTGCTCTCCCTATAGGTGCCAACTCTCCTCAAAAGCCTCCTTATGGTCTGTACGCCGAAAAGCTGTCCGGTACAGCATTTACCGCCCCCCGACATGAAAACCAACAATCATGGCTCTACCGAATTCTCCCAGCAGCATCGCATCAACCTTTTACTCCTCGCGAGACCTCTTCCTACAACACAAATCCAGAAGGAAACAAATTACATCAAATACCAAATCAACTAAGATGGGATCCATTCGATCTAGATGAGACAGTGGATTGGGTACACAGTCTGAAACTGGTAGCTGGAGCCGGTGATCCAACATTGAAACATGGAATTGGAATCTTTATCTTCGCTGCCGGAAAGAGCATGGACAAGAACCAAGCATTTTACAGTGCCGATGGAGACTTCTTGATCGTGGCACAACATGGAGTTTTAGACATCCAGACCGAGCTCGGAAACCTACTCGTTCGACCAAATGAAATTTGTGTTATTCCTCGAGGAATTAGATATCGAGTTGAACTTCCAGAAGGACCTGTTCGAGGATATATATTGGAATTATATTCAGGACATTTCCAACTTCCAGAATTGGGACCAATTGGTTCCAATTGTTTAGCCAACGCGAGAGACTTCCAAGCTCCAGTAGCTAACTTTGAACAAAACACCAATGGTGAATTTAAGATCTTGTCAAAGTTCAATGGACACCTCTTTGAAGCCACTCAAACACACACACCATTCGATGTAGTAGCTTGGCATGGACTCTACTACCCATACAAATACGATCTCGGTCGTTTCAACACCATCGGCAGTATATCCTTTGATCATCCCGATCCCAGTATCTTTACCGTCCTCACTGCTCCTTCCGATCATGTCGGTACCGCCATTGCGGATTTCGTCATCTTTCCTCCACGCTGGCTCGTAGGCGAAGATACATTCCGACCCCCCTGGTATCATCGCAACACCATGTCTGAGTTTATGGGTCTCATCGGTGGCGAATATGATGCAAAGACAGGAGGAGGTTTCCAACCCGCAGGCGCTTCTCTACATAATATTATGTCAGCTCATGGTCCTGATGCAGGTACTCACGATAAAGCATCGAATGCCCCGCTCAAACCGGCAAAGGTTGGAGAGGGAAGTATGGCGTTTATGTTTGAGAGTTGTTTGATGGTGGGGGTGACGGAGTGGGGATTAAAACAATGTAGAAAGGTACAGGAAAATTATAATGAAGAAAGTTGGACTCCCTTGCCGGCTCATTTTAAGATTCCCGCAGGAGTCAAGAAAATTAGTCATTTGGTTTCGGGGGAGATTGAGGGCGTTCTCGATATCGGAAAGAGTATTGGTGGTGAGGGAGCAAAGAAGGAAATTAATGAAGGGGCTTTGCCGCATTATACTTAAGGGTGAGGGGGTAGGTCGTTTCAAACGACATTCTTATATGCGCGTTATCACGAATTTATGAATAGATATACCATTATCAGGTTATTACTTATCGTCATATCATATCATCATATCATATCATGGCATCCTAAATCATACCATACATACATACATACCCTACATACCACATCATACATATCATGCAATCGATCAACCAATCAATACACCCATCATATAAATAATCTGATCTCGTTCAATTCAAATCAATCAATTCAATCTAAATCATCACCTCACCTCAGTAACCTTACTGAAAACGTAACCTAAAATCTGAATACAGAATATTGAACAGAACCTGTACCCGAACCTCGTACTAATATAGATGTTAATAGATATAAATATAGTCTATGCTAATCTAGAGGTAATTCAGATGGATGGATGGATGGGTGGGTGGATGGATGGATGGATGGTATAATGGTATGATGGTATGATGGTAGGTAGATCAACCCCGCAAAGTATTGTGTTTCCGATGTTTCCGTGGTGGATTGAATTGGGTGTGAGGGAGGGGTATGAGGGGAGGGAGGGAGTAGAGAGAAGGGTGATAGAAGGGTGATAGAGGGGTGATAGAGAGGGGGATAAAGAGGTAATTATTTGAAATCTTGATATAAATTTATAATAAATATGAATATAGAAATGTAAATATAGAAATATGGATATAGAAATATGAATATAGAAATATGAATATAGAAATATAGATATAGAAATATAGATATGAATATATAAATAGAAAATCAGATATCTACGAGTAGATAGATTTGAGATATTATATATATATATATATATATATATACTATATATATTATATCATATAGATTATAAGGTTACCTATTCTTATAGGATTTTTGAGGTATATAAGATTATATATCCGAGTATATATATATTCGAGTACGAGTATATATGTATATATATATATATCCGAGTATATACGATATATATATATATATAAAAGAAGACCTCGTGATCTGATATCTACGTAGCGAGGAAATTTGGGGCGAGAAGAAGGTATATAATATATATATAGTGTGACTTTGAGTATCTATCTGGGGGGGGGGTTGAGTTTTGAGTCTTGAGTTTTGAATTTTGAAGTGGGGGTTTGGGGGGGATGGGGGAAGGGGGCTATTCGTAGGAGAAAAAACAGGCGGAATTTGACAATTTAAATCTTTGTTAAAATCTTCTAATTTAATTGAATAATAAATCATTTTAAAATGATTTCTATAAATTCAAAAAGATCAAAAGAATATTTAGCTCTTTATTGTTTAGGTGATATTTCGAAATTTTATTTTATATAATATTAGAGGAAAGTAATTGAATGATATTATATCGTAGAAGTGGTCGAATCCCGCCTGTTTTTTCTCCTGCGAATAGGGGGGGTGAGAGGGGAAGATGCGGTGGTGGGGGGTGAAGAGGTATGGATTGGGAGTTTTGATGTTTGTATTTGTGTTTGTATGATTGAGGGGATGGATAAGGGGAGGGGAAATGAATGAATGGATAAGTGGATATTAGGTATATACAGAGAGAGAGATGAATAACGCGAAGGGTTTAGCATTAAGATTAATGAGTATGGTATGTATGGGATGTTGTGTACCTAGTATTTTCTTTTATTTGCTATTCGGTAGTGAAAAGGAGATATTATTGATGTTTGATGTTTGATGTGATGTTGTATTCCTTAATATTTTGATATGATGTGATTTATACATATCGGTACCTACATACATATTTATCGTAAGATATCTACCCATATCCATCTCTTCTCTACGTATCTACCTACCATATCTTTCCATTGGTATGGATGATATAATTAGCAACCCGAAGGAAATATACAAGATATCTATCTCCATACCAGGTCCTCTACAAAGTACTCTCTACTGTCCTCATACCCAGGCCAACCAACCATTAAACTTTCCTCATCTCCATAGCACAATAGCCAGAAACCAAATGAATACCTACTCCGTACGAGTAAAATACCTCAATCACATTCCAAGCATTGCGTTACTTCCCTAACTCAATCAAGCATGACCATCTTCTTATTTTCGCTGGTAGACTTCCGGTCTTGCTGGCTTGCATATGATTTGATGGTGCTGGGATGGAGGGAAAGTTTAAATACGAATGAGGAGAGGAAATGCAGAAAAGACCGACCTAGGTAGTATCCTGAGGTTAGATAGCTATCCAGAATTGGAATTAGAATTTGTGAATGCATGGTGGTCGGGGATTTGGTGCGGTTGGATGATTCGATGGCGTGTGTGGTGGTGAGATGTTGATGATACGTAGGGAGGTACGTTGTTAGTGGCATTTTACCCCTCACGAAGAAACCAATCGAAGGATTGTACAACCCCTCTTTTGAGGAAAGGGATTGAGTGGTTGATTGGGTGTGAGTTGGATGAGATGGGATGGGATGGGATTGGATTGGATTGGATTTCAGTCAATTGATTTCTTATTCTTTTTGTGTTTTGGTATCGATCGATGCAGTGCAGTACAGGACAGTTGTATGATGATCAATTAAAATAAGTACGAGGTATATTCTCAATTCACATTTACCATTCTCGCCATTTCAATTGCAATTCCAATTCCAGTACACGTGATGCAATAAATTGTATCAATCCATATCCTCAATCAGTATGACGACGCATCAAAGGAATGAGCTGATCAAAACATACATGACGTGATAAGAGTCAGCAGATACCATGGGCGAAACCTGGGGTATGACCCACTTCCCCAGTTTTGAGGGTAGAGAGGGTCGGAACTTCGCTTTGCCGGACAAGGGAGTGATTGGGGAGACTAGGCTTCTTTGGGTGTGAGATTTCAGGGGAAGATACTACATGGGGAATGGAGGGGATTTTGATATGAGGGATGTGGATATTTTGATGTGGAATGGAGGAATGTGTGAAATGAAGGGATGGTGTGAAATGGAAGGGAACAAGACGATTGAAGATTATGTACTCGTATGTTTGATTGATTTCCTATGAAGTGGGATTTGAAGTGTGAGGTGAGGTATCGTGTGAGGTATGATTAAAGCGGTTCAAGGTGAAGTGTGAAGTGTGATTTGAAGTATGATTCAAAGCACAATCAAAGTACAATTCAAGTACAATTCAAGTATGATGGAAGTAATAGAATGAATCAAAACAATCTTGACAAATGGAAACTACCAAAATCCTAATCATGTCCGAGGTACAAGGTTTCCTCCATGAATTAATTCCTTCTGGTTGGAAATATAATTATTCCCTCTTTTTGATTCGGATAACCTCAACCAATCACCTGTCGGTTGTGTGACTTCTTGTCTATTTCCCCTCATTTGAAAATCTAATGACCTCCTCCTCCCTCCCTCCTTTGTTATTCCCTCCCCATCAAAACTCACTCACACTTTCAAATCATTCAAATATCGATACATTGACTTCTTCGTACCTGAATCCATCACATCACATCAAACAATTTACAATCTACACTCTACAATCTACATCACTTCATCTTTCTTGATCTTCAATTCATCAAAGAAAGTCTCTTTTCAAGCTACACAACTTCCAAATAACCATCGTAGTTATTTGATCCAAACATTCCAACATTGTCTTTGTCTCTCGATATTGATCGTGAGATATCGTATCACCTACACTTTTACTCCATCAAGTAAAACAAACAAACCTCCCTTCCTTCCAATCATGTCTGCCGATACAGCAACTCAACCCATCAATACAGCAAACGCTGGTAAAGATGCTGATCCCATACCTTTAACCAAGGTTGATTCTGCAGTTCAAGGATTATCGAGTAGTCCTACTGATGAGAAGAAAACCATGGGTCATCGGAGAACAAGTTCAAGTGCTCCTGGTGTGTGGAATATTAATGACTTGGGTATGTGATCTTTTCTATGGTATTCCCTTCTTTTAATTGATGAATACATGCTGTCCTGCTTGATATGCAGTCTTACTTGATAATGAAGACATACTAACAATATCAATAGAGAAAGAGGGAAAGGAACTAGAGATTGCGAAAGAAACTCAAAAGCTGAACTGGTATGTACTCTTACCCCACTTCATCACCTATATCTTCACATCTACATGATTCTTATGAATGATGGCTGATGATATTTGTACCCTCTAGGCGTATAAATAAATCACCAATGACTCTTGAGGATCCGGAAAAGGGTTTCCTCAAGAAATCTCTCACTACACCACCCGTCAAGAAGATTGATTTACATTTCCCACTGGGATTGGAGGTCACTGCGAGAAATATGAAGGGTGTTACAATTAAGGATGCAGTAGATGCTATTTACAAACAATTCCGTAAGAAGGTATGTTACCCCTTTGCATTTCTCCCTCATTTCTCCGCTCCATGATCAAATCTTATATTCTTCAACTGCCATCCTCTCAACATCAATATACTAACAAATCTTCATCACCAGGCCGATGATGAACTAGAAACTCCCGTCCTCGCAGGATTTGAATGGGATAAAGATGAATCGTGGACTCGGCTCATCGTACACTGCAAGAAAGAAGGAGCACCACAACCCAAGAAGAAGAGTAAGAAGGCCGGTAAAGAAGGAGAAGAATTGTAGTTTCCCCACACTACACTTCCCTAACTACACCTCCCTTTCTGCACTACTCGTAGACTACACTTGTTGTTCGAATAGAGCATTGATGGCGTGCGTGATTATGGATGGATTTTGCTTTGCTTTGCTTGCTTGCTATCTAGGGAATTGATGAATTTTTTGCTTGGGATATGGATGGATGGATGGATGGATGGATGGATGGCTTCGGATATGGTATTAGGTGGTTACCATGATATTCTTCTCTCTCTCGCCAATCATGGCTTTACAATACATTGACGTGATATTTATTGAGCTAGCTGGCATGCTATGCTATCATGAGATGATCAGAGTCTGGAAGATGTTGACTGGCTGGTAGATTTGTATACTAGTTAGGAATTCAATACTTTGACTCCTGTTTCTTTCTTTTTTTTGTGTGTGTTTTTGAGGATGAGTTGATCCTTGGTGTATGAATTGAATTGAATTGAAATGTGATATCCAGCTGGAGTCCAGTATGTATTGATGTGTACACTTACCTAGTATTTCTCTTTAATTCCAGAGGTTGTTGGAGGGAGAATTTTGCTTGGTGGTGTGGGGTAAGCAAGTGAATGATTAGCGGGTAAGGGAATTGAGAATTGTGGTTTATTAGCCGATTGATCGTTGTTTGAATCTGATAGGGTTGGGATTTATTATATATTTGGGATTAAATTTGTTTATTACGAATTTGAATTCTTGAGTGATTTGTGGGTGATTTTGAGTGATTTGTAAGTGATTTGTTTGTTATTTAGGGGGTTGTTTTTTATAGATTGGGTTGGAATGAGTTGGGTTGGATTGGACTTGGTGAGGAGAGGAGGAGAGGAGGAGAGGAGGAGAGGAGGAGAGGAGGAGAGGAGGAGAGGAGGGGAATGAGAATGGTTTGGGGTTTGGATTGGAGTTTGGATTCGGGTTTAATAAGATGGGGGAAGAAGAGAAAGAGAAGGGAGAGAATAGAAGGGAAGAGGAGAGGAATAAGAATGATTTGAGTTTGGATTTGGGTTTGGATTGAATTGGGGTTTGGATTTGGTTTTGATAAAAAGAGGGAAGAAAAGAAAGGAAAGGGAGAGAATGGAGAGAAAGAGAAGAGGAATAAGAATAGTTTGAGATTGAAGTTTGAATTTAAATTAGATTAGGATTTGGATTTGATAAGAAAAAGAAAGAAAAAAAGAGAAAGGAGAGAATAAAGAAAAAAAAAAAGAGGAATAAGAATGATTTAGATTCGGATTTGGGTTTGGATTTAGATTCGGATTTGGGTTTGGATTTAGGTTTGGATTTGGATTCGGGTTTAATAAGAGGAGAAAAGAAGAGAAGAGAAGAGAAGGGAGAGAATGGAGGGAAGGAGAAGAGAAGGGATAGGGATAGTGATGGGATGGAAGAGATAAGTAGGAGGGGGTATTTGAGGAGTTTGAAATATCTATGTGATGTTGTGATGAATTTGGATTTGACTCTGGATCTGAGGCAATTGAAGGAGTATAGGCAGGGGAGGGGGAGGGGGAGGAATGTGGATTTAGATTGGAGGTGGGAGGTGGGAGGGAGAGAGGAGAGAGGGGAGGGGGAGTGGAACAGGAGAGAGATGGAGAGAGAGGGGATTGGAGGAAAATGGCTAGCGAATGAGGGGGTCAATAAGAGGAATGAGAAAAATGGATGGATGCATGGGATGGATTGTGAGATGAATATATCTGTATTTGGAGAGCTGGTTGAGTGGGGAGGGGGGAATTGGTATGGAGAAGAGAAGAGAAGAGAAGAGAAGAGAAGAAGTAGAGGGAGGGATTGAAGAAGATTGATAGAAGGGAGTAAATGAATCGAATAGATGATTTGGGATAAGAGTGAGATGGATGGAGGGGGGAAAGGATTGTGGTGTGGTGTGGTATGGTATGGTTAATGTGGTTTTAATGTATAGTTGTGGATGAGATGGAAGGGATAGGTGGAAGGATAGGTGGAAAGAAGGAGGTGAAGGTGAAGGTTAGTGAGTTGGATGGGAGCTGGGAGATTGGGAGATGGGAGATGGGAGATGGGAGATGGGAGATGGGAGATGGGAGATGGGAGATGGGAGATGGGAGATGGGAGATGGGAGGGATTGAATGGGAATTTGAATGGAAATTTGTTTTTATGGGTGGGACTGGTAAGAGGGTGAATGGGGTAGATGATGTAGAGAGGGGGAGAGGGGGATAGTATAAGGAAGGGAGGAAAGGGAAGGGAGAGAGAGATGAATAGGAGGGGGTATATAGATGGAGTGGATAAGTTTGAGTAATTTAAATAATAGAAAGAAAGAAGAGAATGTAAGGTTGGAGATTTGAATAAAGATTTGAATAATAAGGAGGGGATGAAGAGAGAGGATAATATTAATTATTCAGTATTATAAAGCGTTAAAATCTATAATAGATAGAGATATTTAATTAATAATTATTTTGATATAAAAAGTATTAGTTTTTGAATCCACTTTATAATAATATTCTTTCGCCTTTGATTTTCGAATAAATCTTTTTTTTTCTAAGACTTATAATCTTCGAATCGCTATAGATACTCAGCTTTTAATTTAATAAAATTTTTAATCCCCACCCCTCCCTTTCTATTATTCGATTTTCCCTCCCCCCCATCCATTTATGATTTCCCTCTGTAATACTGTTTATTCATTTAATATCAAATTTCAAAATGAATAAACTTTGATATAAAAAAGTATAAAAAAGTACTTCATATATAGACTCGATATTTAATAAAAATATAATCTTGTATATACTCTATACTTCTTATTTCTAGAGATTATTATAATTATTATATCTTGTATTTGAAATTCTCGACGAAAAGATATATAGATAGATAGATAGATAGATTATTCTTAAATTCCATCCCCGGATAATATCTATAAAGAGGTTCTCGAACTACTGATAGTGGGTCTGGAAAATCCACTGTAATATGACGCTGGCATGTATGATGTATGAAGACTCCACTTTCTTCCTGTTTTCCTATAGGTACTTGTCGTGCTAGATGAGGAGTGAGGATTGGTGTGTTGAGGTTTGTATTGTAATCTTCGTATACCTAGTGTAAGTGATATACGAATATGTATTCGGAAGTGAGAAGGGGAAGAGTAGTATAATAGGAATGAATGAGCAGGGACTCGGGAGGTATCATACGAGGAAGGGATAATTGAGGGATTGTAAGTCTTACCTTGTGTTTATTGATTTCTGAATGATCGGAATAGTCGGTTAGATGCGGTTATTTCTTGATATATATTTGGGAGTGTCATTGAGATGGTAGGTGGTAGTTGGTGATTGTTGATTGGATCTTGTTTTCTTTGTTGGGATTGCTGATGGGATTGCTGATCTATGAATTCATGGTTTGGAGGGGAGATGGATGGAAACTCAGATGTTTCTGTCTGTGTATGATTGGACATTTGATGATCTTGTCTGCGATGGAGTAGTATTGATGTCTACTTTGTAAGATTACAAGACAAGTTCATGATTCTGTCTATAATATGAGAGTTGGATAAACAGATCGGGAGTAGTACTCTGGAGTAGTATGAAAAGCATGATTCCAAATTTCCAGCAGTACGTGAATATGTGAATGCTTTGACGTTCTCATCAAATTAGACCATGATTTTTGGATGTCGACAATGAAGCTATTGAAAGCTTGAGGAAGATCTTATAGGGGATTAATTATTAAGATAGTACTTAAATAATGATCATCATACTGCTCAATACATAATATTGGTGATGGGTTTGTCAAGGACGCTCGGGAAGCTGAAAAATAAACAATTACCTGTACGTAGAAGGTCCCTGGCGATAGTCAGTACCCACATTCTAATAAGCCCACAGCCCACTGAAACTCGCAATGTTCACCGCTTCGGATAAGATCACGATGATGGATGGGTATTCTCCGAGTGATCATTCGAGGTGTCAAGTATTGGATTTGAGTACTCGGTAGATGAGTTGGTAGATGAATTGGTAGATGAATTGGTAGATGAGTTACGGATAGATGGCGTGCCGGTAGATGAAGTCTCGGTAGTTTATACAAAGTATAGTAACGAGGAGTTTTCCGGATCTATTATCAATAGGTCGAGTAGCTTGGTTCTTTCTTTTGCCTTTGTTCAAGGGATATGGTAGCTGCCGTGCTCTTGTACTATCGTATCTCGTAGCCTTGGTTGACCTCTTTGACTCGAGAAGGGGGATTTGGAGGAATGAGAAGGGGAAGTTGATGTTGATGTTAATTGATGTGTAGGTATATGTTTAACGATGGGGTGTAGATGTATGTAGATGTAGATGTATATGTATATATATATATATATTTGTGTGTGTGTAGATGTAGATGTATATAGATATAGATATAGATGTAAATGTATATCATTTGAGATTGTCTCGCTCATTCTCATATTCTTCATCTTAAACATCACGTGTAACATAATCTTCCATCATTCCCTTTCCTTCCCTTTCCTCTCCTCTCCTTCCCTTACCTCGAGCCTTACCAAGTACGTCCTACCAATTATCCTTGTCTGCCTTGTCTTGTTGGTTCATAACTTCTTCCCTCTCTCTACACTAAATTTCCCCGCATACGATAAAAAATCCGGTCAAGGGCAATCCGTCAACTCTCATTTGTTAGAAAGTGACTATCGAACTGGACTGGATTGCCATTTTCTAACAAGTCCCAGTCAAATAACCTTTCTAAAAAAAAACCTCGTCGACTCAACTAAAAACTTAATAAAAACTACTTCCAACATCTCCGGCCAAATGCGCAAAGACATATATTCCTCCTCCTGACTTTCAATGTGATAATGAACATACTTGAATCACAAGTTAATGATCTAAATTATATCGCAGAGTCTCCCATTGCCATCCCGGTCTTTGATAATATGAATGGTCAACAACAGCAACAGCAACTACAGTCTTCGGAATCACCCGCGGATACTGGGGCTCAGAGCGGAAAGAAGAGAAAAAATGATGCGGGTGAGGGAGGCGACGCAACGTTGAATGGAAATAAGGAAGGCACTCCACATACAAGGGCAAAGAGAAATAGATATATATCTATTGCTTGGTACGTTACCTTTTCTTTTCTTGCCTTTCTTGTGTTCTCTTTGTGTGCATGTGCATGTCTTGATGTGGTTGCTTTGCATCCTGCTTGAGTTTCACTTGCTTCTGGGTTGCTTTGATGGAAATGCGCCCGAGGAAATCCAAAGGGGGGACCGAAACCCGACTCTACCTGCAGACAACCTTACACATGGGATAATTTGAGGACGGAATTTCCATTGCATGATACTAATTCATATACTGACATAGTAACGAATGCAAACGAAGGAAAATCAAATGTAATGGAAATACACCATGTCAAAGATGCGGAAACCTCAACCTCGAATGTCAATATGCCCCGAATTGTTGTACCAATGGCTTCAAGGAATCGGAGGAGTTTCGTCGAATGAATTCACAAATTTCCCTATTACAAGAACAAGTGGACAATCTATATTCGACAATAAATGCCATGCGCCAAGGTGGCAGCGGTGGGGGTGGTGATGGAAGCATATCCTATGGCGCATCATCAGAAAGATCATTGTCGATATCGCAACAATCCGCAGTGCAAGGACTTTCTCCCTTGAGCTTTCATCATAAACCTATACCTAGGCATCCTTCATTTCGGGGACCGACCAGTTCCGCTTTTGGTCTAGATGTGGCTAAAAACACGCTTCATAATATGGGATATCAATCATTGGCAGAAGAAGGCATCGCTACTCAGGATCCGACTCCGGTACCGTCACCAGCTCCATTACGACCAAGAGCATTGCCATCCATCAATATGAATGGTGTTCGAGCTCCAGATCCATTGAGAAGTGTAAATCGAGAAGAAATGATTCGACTGTGTAGGGTATATGAAGAAGAGATGGGTCTGATGTATCCTGTTGTGGATATAGAGGAATTAATCACTCATGGTTCCAACCTTTTTGAATTCATTGATGCCGCGGTGAGGAATGGCCTTGCCACATCCAATAATCCTCAAGGTATTAATGATAACAATTCTTGTATGTTGAAGACTATCATGGCTATCTCAATGATCACAGAGGGAAGTGGGCAAAGTGACTTGGCCTTCAGATTATTCGAGAGTGTTAGAGAGCCTGCGGATCGTGCATTGCATGATGAATTTGTGGAGGTTAAAAGCTTGCCATTCTTGGTACTCGTGGTGAGTTATGGAATTTTGTTTCTTGCCCCTTGTTTATTTTTGTATGTTGTGTTTGCTTGGATAATGTGGAGGTTAAAGGAAATCACAAACTCTAGTGAGTAAGGATTTGAGAGAAGTTTCTCTTGTTTTCCCAAGCTGGGTGGTGGTCGTTTCGAGACTCATGAGTTACTGTTGCCATTTGAGCAGGTGAAAATAAATTCAACTTATAATGCTACATTTGGCCAAGTGGGACTAATGTGGGATGCCGAGCACATGTGGTTGGCATTATGGACATTCAACTTTATATGGCATGAAAGAGGTACAAAGCTGTAGAAGGATATCTGGAGAGGAAGGCCACCACAATGAGGAAAATGTTAAAAAAAAGAAAGTTGGCGTTGGGAGGAATCGAACAACCCCATCTTGCTTCCGCTCATTTAAGAGCGTGGCAGGTTTTACCATTAAACTACAAGGCCTATTTGATTTATTGTTGCACTGGTATGATTATCACATTAGAAATCCGATTATATATCGATCAGATGATAGTTGAAGCACAAAAACCTGTCGCTGGATTTGGAGCTCACGAAGGATGGAAGAAACTGCAAAGCCTTGACACGTTGGCGCAGGTAAAAATCTCAAAACGATCATTGACTTCGTAAGGGACCAAACCTACTTCTACATCTCACATCAACATCAGGGATATCGTGCTTTATTATTCACTTGCAAGGCCTACATCATTTATTTTTGGACTGGATCAATCATTGCATTTTTCATTGGCTTCTAAAGACACGCAACCCATACCGTTATTGGTGTTACAGATCCCAAAGGCCACAGCAATGGAATCTTGCTGTGCTCGGTTGAATTGAAAGTCGGAAAAAACCGCCCATTCGATATCTGCTTCTGGCCTAGGAAATCAAAGTCGGAATAATGCTTGCTACTTGGAAGGAATTAGCCCACATAATGCCACATCCAGTCAGAAGTTTGCGACTCCAGCGTTAAATCACAAGCTCTATTTGATTCATTCAATCCTTGGTCATTACAATATGCAGATCATAGTCGTGTTAGTGCCGACTGTCATGGATTTCAGAGTATGCGGCTCTGTTATGAGTTCTCATCCCTTATGGACTCCATCACATTTGTGGTTTCTCATTATTGAGGATAAGCGAAGAACCACAAAAACCTCTTCTCATTAGAGGTGGTTCTGTCTATTCGGCTGTCCCCAGAATGAGAATTGAAGATCAACGTAAAGAAAAGATGGGCTTTGCAACATAAGCCAGGAAGAAAGCAAAAGAAATTCCAAAAAAAAATAAAAGATTTGGACCTCGCAGGATTCGAACCCGCTTCTCTGGAAGGGACACTTTCACCTGGAAAGGAAACACAGCGTGTTAACCAATTACACCAAAGGCCCTTTTGTTTTTGTTGACTGAGATGACTTGTTCAGAATAATCTTGTTTCGTTCCGTCTCTACTTGTGGACCCTCTGATTGGTGTACATACCATGCGTCAGAGCCGTGATTCGACGTTTTGTCCCTTAGCTCTCTCAAATTAATTACCCATGCCGCGATTGTACTTTTCATTTTCTGCGTCAAACTTTACACTTTCTTCTACTGTTGGGTTTCAAACAGATCCATCATCAATCTTTCGCAAAAGATTCAAACTCCTGTTCTGCCTTCAAGTTCTAATTCGTTCCCCTTTCTTCTTTTCTGCGAACTGAGAGACAAATGTACTTTTTAGCAACAAACTAACATAAATCTTAGGCAATATTCCATTTCCACTGTGACGAAGAAGCATTGGCCTGGCGCATAATTGGACAAGTCGTACGAATGTCAATTGAGTTGGGTCTGCATAGACGTGATTCTTTTTTCAAAGTTGTGACTGATGAACGAGAACGGGTTGCTGTTACCAAACTTTTCTGGTCAATCTATGTACTTGATCGAAGGTGGAGTTTCGGTACAGGCATGCCTTTTGCTATACAAGATTCAGATATTGATCCCTCTTTACCAGAACCTGTATGTAATTTTCTAAATTTACCTGACGACTCAGCTAATTCTTTTAGGATAATTCGGTCCCTTATCTACACGTTATGATATCATATTCAAGAATAGGTTCTAAAGTTTGGAAATCGATCTGCTCTTTCTCCCCAACACCTTCAACGAATATAATCACCGAGGAGTTAAGTTATCTAGACTACCAGATCACACAATGGCAAAAAACGATACCACCTCATTTACAACTTCCAACTTCTGCTGCCCCTCAAGCCTCCTCTCGCGCAACCCATCGACTACAAATACTTCTCTACCTTCGTGCCAATCAAATGCGTATCCTGATCTATCGCCCTGTCTTACACTCTGCATCTTCTATACAAGAACATATTCAACATGCGTCTATAGTTGTCGAACTTGCGAAAGATACAATTCGCGCCCTCACACATCTCAATCAAACCACGGACATTTATCGCGTACAACAAGTTTGCTTTAATTATTTCCTCATTTCAGCGTTGGCGGTCATTTTTCTAGCAAGTTGTCATGCTCCAGTTACCTTCAGCTCGATTTGCCGCGATGAATTCTATATGGCACTCGATTTAGTGAAGGGTTTCTCGAATAAATCTTTTGTATCGAAACGTCTCTGGAAAACAATCAAAAGTCTAAAACAAGTAGCTCCAAGACTTGGGCTGTCTCCCACTTCAAATAATCATCATAACGGTGCATTGGGAGCGGATGATGCACATAGTAGTGCGGCACTTGCAATGGCTGGATTGGCAGGTCATGAAATTACGGGAATGGGAGGAGGATACGATACAAATGGACCTGGACAAGGAATGGGTACGGGATCAGGAAGTAGTCCGATGACAGGAAATCAAATGAGTTATGAGATGACGCATCTATTTGAAGCGGCGTTGGGAATGGGAAATGGACATAATGGATATGGAGTTGGGAATGGGATGGATGGGACACCGGGAGTGGGAGATGATTTGGGAGGTGTTGGTCCGGCTTTTGGAGAAGGTGATGAATTATTTAGGCAGTTAAGGGATTTGTTTTAAGGGTGATCAAGCTCACGGTGGTATTTGTAATATAAGGAGCCTGTATTACTGTGTATATTGAAGCGACAAAATATTGCGGAGGTTGTTGATATTCGGTGGTTTGAACATAGGGCTGAAGAACCGCAGCTTCGTTGGTTGGTAGTTTACATATCCTCTTTACGTCATTAATCAAGCACAATAGTTCTATTCTAGCTTATGGGTAGGAGGGCAAGCACTGTGCAAGCAATTGACCTTGAATCATTGTCTGAGACTAAGATGTCGGAATCCCACTGACAGGTGGATCAGTCTCGACGGGGTTGACGTATTACTGAATCCACTGGGATCTTGATTCAAAATTGCATATTACACCATATGATACAAATCGAATCACATCTGATACATCACTGCCATGATCTTTGGCCAGCATTAATGTCTGACAGCGGAAATGCTACAATTTTTATGGAGAGGTCCAGGACGGAATTAATACCGTGCGGCAGAGCGACGAATTTCAGCTCCACAAAATGTTCATTCCGCGAAGACGATGTATGTATGGATGACCCCACAATGTGGAAGCTTTGCACTCACTACCCCTCCATTCGAACGAAATAGCTTGAGCTTGACGTCGGCTTGTAGAATTATCGGCTTCGGTTGATGTTTATGGAATTTGGGTTGAAGAACTTGTAAATGTAATTGTCATTCTACTTACAGCTATTGTCCCTTTCTTCTCCACGTTCATGAACAAATCTCAATTCTAACTTCACATCAAGTTCTTTAGTATACAGATTCCTCGTTATCCATTGTCAACATGCCTCCTCTCAAGTCTTGGCTTCGAATTCCTCCTCATAGCGATTTCTCCATCCTCAATATCCCCTTTGGTATTATCACCTCTCGCAATTCGCAGGTTACTCACCGTCCAGCTATTCGTATTGGCGACCATGTGTTAGATCTCCTTGCCTTTTCTAAATCGTCTGGATTCCAGAAACTCCCTTCATTCAAAGACCACCTCTCCGTTTTCGAAGAACCAACCCTCAACGCATTTGCAGCATTAGGTCAGCCCATTCATCGAGAAGTTAGAAAATATATACAAGAGGTTTTTAAGGAGGATACCCCATATCCGGAATTATTGAAGGATAATGAAGAAGTACAAAAAGAGTGTTTGCTGAAGGAGGGAGATTGGAAGAATCATCTGCCGATGAGGATTGGGGATTACACAGATTTTTTTGCGGGTATCAATCATGCTAGGAATGCGGGAACTATGTTTAGAGTGAGTTCACCTGTGGTGTATTAGAGTGGTTTTGATGACGGATTCTGATGAATATGTCTAGGGAGCGGAAAATGCATTACAACCAAATTACACACATGTTCCAATTGGATACCATGGTCGGGCTTCCTCGGTCGTCGTCTCCGGAACGCAAATTACACGTCCTAATGGTCAGATTATTCTTGATCCAAAGGCTCCTGGCCCTAAGAAACCTGTATTTGGACCTTCCAGAAGACTCGATATTGAGCTTGAGCTGGGATGTTTCTTATGCACGGGCAATGAACTCGGAGAGCCTATTAAGGTCAACAAGGCCGGAGAAAACATCTTTGGATATGTTCTCATGAATGATTGGTCTGCAAGAGATATTCAGAACTGGGAATATGTCCCGTTGGGTCCTTTTAATGGAAAGAATTTCTCTACAAGTATCAGTCCGTGGGTTGTTCTCCAAGACGCTATTGCGCCTTTCCGAACCGCTAAATTAGAGACGGAGGCCTCGAAATCGGGAGAATTGTTGGATTATCTAAAAGAAGAGAGTAATAATACGGGTCTTGATATTAATTTAGAGATTGATCTCACGACTCCAGATGGAAGTACAACTGCGATTGGGAAAGTAAATGCGAAGAATTTGATATGGAGTTTTGAACAAATGCTTGCGCATCATAGTAGTGGAGGATGTAATATGAGGACGGGTGATCTGTTGGGTAGTGGGACGATTACTGGGGAGGGCGATCAGGAGATGGGGAGTTTATTGGAGATGACGTGGGGTGGGAGTAAGGATATTTGGTTGGTGGGGATGGAGACGAGGAAGTTTTTGAAGGATGGTGATGAGATTACTTTGAGGGGTACTTGTGGGGTGGAAGAGGGGGGGAAGGTGGGCTTTGGTGAGTGTAGGGGGAAGGTGGTTAGTGCGATTGTTTATTAGGGGGAGCGTGTATGGGGTGGGAGGCTTGGGAGATTTGGATGTTACGTCGAGTAAAATTATATTATATCCTATCTACTGGGTGTTCTTTTTGCTTTATATTTATCTTTTGTGTGTTTTTTGCGGATTTCCATTGTTCAACTTGGGTACTTTGGATTCCGAATGTCTAGTTGTCTTGGCTGGGCCTTTTTGATTGATTAGACTTTTAGCGGCGCAATGAGTTGATGATGACTTACTGCATCTATCATCTTGGTGCAAGGAAATTGGAACTTTGAGAATGGGAACACGTTTTTTTGAACAAAATTCGTTGTTACTGTTCATTCTAATTGCTCATTAGAGAAGGAAATATACTCACAATCTCTCTCAAGATGTTACTAATACAATTCTACTCATTCAATATTACTTTCATCCAACAATTTCAGCTGCAAAAATCTTTTCACAATTCACTACTCGCCCTTCACACATACCAAGGAAAATGAGATTTTTCTCCCTTGTTAATCCAATTCTATCTTTCCAGAATCTTCAATTATCCTCTACTTTCCTTTCCAATTCAACTCGACTTTCAACCCCCAAGATTCACAAACTCGAGACATTTAGTGCACAAACACAAGCACTCACTGTCAAAAATGTCTTCCAGATTATTGACATCTCCCATGGATCTTAGGAGGTCGTAAGTTCTACCCTTTATCCTTGACCCTAAACCTCCAACCACAAATACAACCCCAACTAATCCCCCTCCCCTCTCCAAAGAAAAAGCCACCGCACCTCTCCCTCCCACTCTCACTCCGCCAGCTATTCCCATCCTCCCCAACACCGCACCTCAACTTCCGCACTACCAGAAGAAGAAAAACCTCTTCCCGCCCCGCCAAAACCATCCACTTCTACTTCTACTTCTACTGGGGTACTGCATCGACTGATTCCGCGCAGGAGAGATTCAATCGCGCTTCCGAGAGTGGTGGAGGGATTGAATCGGGGAGTGGAGAGGGTGAGGAGATGTAGTTTGAGAGCGGGTGGTATGTATTTTTTTTTTTTTTTTTTTTTTTTTTTTAGGAATTGGGGAGGGGGGAAGAGGGCGTTGGAGGGTTTATTCGATAAGCTGTTTTGGATTTGTTTGGATGTGGGATGAAAGGGAATTGGAACATTAACTCATGGAATGAATTGGAATAGTAGGATTAGGACTCACAAGTCCCACGGCATCGAAAATAATCAACACAGAGACTACACGCACATCCACACCCAGATCAACATCAACATCCAAATCTAAATCCAAATCCAAACCCACCAGCAAATCCACCACTTCCCCCCTCCTCCCCAACCCCGAAACCGAAACCAAAACCAAAACCAAAACAAATCCTATCCAGAACGCCAAGGCAGATATCGACTTCCCCAGTGATGAAGAAGCAGAAGCAGAAGAAGCAGAACTAGGTATCGCGGTCGAAATGAGTATCAGGTGTGTTCGTGCACGGCTTGTGTATATTGGTTGTAGGGGGTTGGAGTCTTGATTTTTGGGATTGGAGTTGGGGTTGGGATTGGGATTGGGATTGGGATTGGGATTGGGTTTGAGTTTGGGTTTTTTTGGTGGGGAGGAGGGAGGGAGAGAGGTAGGGAGGTAGGAAGGTATGTGTATGCATTGGTGATGGATGGGATATTTTGAAACTTTTAGAAATTCTGAGAAATTCTTTCGTGGATTGTGGTATTTTTGAGGGTTGGGATTTATGGGGTTGAGTGTTTCGTTCATTCATCTCTCATCTGATGGATGATGGATAATTATTTCAATTGTCAGAATAGGTTTAGAGAAGATATTTAGGTACCTATCTATAATAAAGCTTGGAATGAGGATTGGATATTGAATAGGTAGCGATTATTTCTTTTTGTTCTTGTTCTTGTTCTTGTTTTTATTCCTGTTCTTGCTGGGGTGGTATGTATATGTAGGTATATGAATATAGATGCTCAAGAGCGTTGAGAGAAAGAAAAAGAAAGAGAAAAAGGAAAAGAAAAAGAAAGAGAAAAGAAAAGGGGTTCGCTTATGGGAGTTAGTAGGGTGTGCAGTTTTATGTGTCGGGTATGATCTACTTACTTCTGAATATACATGCAGAATGACAATATCGTAAAAATGTAGAATGGAATTTCTCCTAGATGGAGTTATAATTCATACAGGATTTGGATCTTGAAATAGCGTTTGTTGATTTGTGTTAAATGAATGATTGAATGAATGAATGAATGAATGAATTTAAGATTACTTCACATACCTAATTCATAATAATTCCCACTTAGCTTTTCTTGCACCTGACGTTGAACTAACATAGTACCCCCGCAGCGAGGTACATGTAATCTATTAGAGCAAAATTCATCCGTCAAAGCAACAAGGAAGACTTGAATATTCAGTCCTCTTGCTCATCAATCCAAGATAATCAAAGACGCCCAAAGTTCAAACAAATCCTCACTCGATCTACTAAACGATTACTCACTTTTTATAAAGAAAATCAAAATACTCAGTCTACTATTAAATACCTACCTACCTACTAGTAAAAGTAATCAGAGAATCGAGAGGGCATAGGCATAGGTATACGTACGATACACATCAGACATCAGACACCAGATATTCAAGTACGGTTTGCAAACCTTTTAGTTATTAACACATCAATATCAATATCAACATCAACATCAAAACCATCACCATCACCACACCAATACCAACACCCACTCAAGACTAGTATTGTACACTCAAAGTTCGATTCCCTCAACAAATTTCAACTCCACAAATCATATTTACAAACCTAATACCTACTGCCTTCACAAAACTAACAAACAGCGAAATCATCACAGATTACTCACGAATCGAAATCTTGAAGTTTGGATTCCCAAATATTCCAACATGATTTCCACATTAACTAGGTATTTCAAATTATCCTTCCCTTCAATCCTATTTGCAAACAAAAAAAAAGGTATCAAATCATATTGACCAAACAATGCAAACGCATCTCGTACATGCTATGAGAAAAACCAAGTCTGTTCTTTCTTCTACCCTATGAATATACTCAAACACCACCATCCCTATCCATACAAAAAGATATACTAAACCTTGTTTCCCACCTCAACGCTATGCTCAAGACAAAAACATGAGCCATAAGACCATCCCCATCCTAAAACACCTAACCATAATAATCCTACAAATTCCTATTCCCAGTTCCAATGAATCATGACATATCGTTAACCAAATCCATCAAAACGCTTCCTTGCCTTATATTCCCATTATTCATCGCTAAACCTCCTTTGATCCTCTTAGGCTGATGTTTTCCTTTGCTGCTCTTCGCAGCCATCGGTTCTTTTTTGGTGGGTATCACGCCCATTCGCGCGTTTTCCTTGTCTCCATCTTCATCTCCCTCGATATCCATCAAATCAGGTTTCTTTCTCTTCCCCATATCCTTCTCTACCTTAACCCACTGCGACAATCCTACACTCCCCTGCGTCGCAGTCCCCGACACCTCCCACCAATGTCCCATCAACTGCTCTTCCTTCAACTCATAAACCCACTTCTTCTCCTCCATCAACCTAACAAATCTGCTCACCATTTCTTCCTTTCTGTCTCCTCCATCATTCTCCCCCTTCCCTTTCAGCGTCCCTCTACTCCCCACAACTAACAACTTCGTCTTCGCTCTGGTGAAAGCCACATTAATCCTCCTCCAATCCTTCAACAACTCCCCAATATTTCCACCCTCATTACTTCTCACTAAGCTCAACACAATGACCTCCTTGTCTCTCCCTTGAAACCTATCTGCAGTATGCATCTCCACACCTTTAGCGGTACGGAGACTATCTTTGAGTAAAGCTAACTGAGAGCGGTAATGTGTCATGACCCCTATCTCCGTAGGATCGATACCGACTGCTATGAGAGAAGTAACAAGTTGTGTTACGATTCTAGCTTCCACGTCATTTACAGTTCGATTTCCCTTTTCACTTTCCCGCGCTATTTCGCCGAGACCATCGGTATCAACGAATGCTACGGTAACATCCGGATCCAAGAGATCGCGTAACCAGCATCTTCCCTTTTTCGGTTCGAGACAAATGTATTTTTGTGTACTGTGTAAGATACTACTGGGTGTGTGATGATTTGCTTTCAAAGCGTCCATATCGGGAATAACTATCTTACGATTAGCGACAGAAGTGCTACCGCATTTAAGACGACCGTTGTAAATGAGTGTATTGGAGAGAGCCATTACGTCGGCATTCATGCGGTATTGATGTTCGAGGTAGACGACGCTTTGAGGATGGGCGTCGGAGAGATATTTGAAGAGAGAGATATCTAGACCTCCTTTGCGGGCTTCTTCGTCTTTAACCAAGGGGGGAAGTTGGTTGTGGTCTCCGACAAGAATGAATGTGCGAGCGAGGCGAATTGGACCAACACAGACGGGTAGTGTAATTTGAGAAGCTTCATCTACTATGCAGTAGTCGAATGTACGTTCGTTGAAAATGGGATGGTTGATACCGAGGCAACTCGTGGCAATAATTGGTGTGTCATGCCAGACACTTCGAATTTCTTCCATGGTTTCTTTAGGATCCACAGCGAGTTTGGCAAATTCTTGAACATCGGGGTGGATCTTAGCTTTAGTGCCTAGACGCAGGATCGGGATTGAGTCATCGCGAAGTTTCAGAAGGATATTGTCTACAGCTGTATGAGTGTAAGAAGTGAGGAGAACGGATTTCCCTTGCGAAACAAGCGCTCGGATGATATGAGCAATAGTTGTAGTTTTTCCAGTACCAGGCATACCAAGTACTAGAGCATAATCCTGTGCGGACATAACTTTTTCGATGGCACGGCGTTGATCCACATTGATACAAGACCGATCTTTGAGTGTATACTGAGTGGAATGCGGTTTGAACTGAGGAGGATTGAGATCAACGACTAGACTTCGGATTTCGCGTGATCCGAATGGACCTTCGGTCATGATCTGGATGAGGTTATTCCGAACGGTAGCAAGACCATTACTGAATTCATCTTTATCGAGACGATAAAGAATTGGGTCCTCTTTAATTTTGCCAATAGAGTCCGCTGGAGTAGATCCTTCGGCAGCGACTTCCATGATACTAGCAAAGACTTGGTTGTTAATCTCATCGAATCCGGGTTGTCTGATGCGAGCATTGTGTAAACGTCGATCAACAGCGACTGTAATCCTGTTCTTGCGTACATTCGTAACGTAACCTTTGGCGAGAGCAAAATGGCCCTTTTCATCCGAGATAACAATTGGCTCTCCTATTATTATTTGAGAGTCCATGAAGGAAAACCCGGGAGGTGCGGTATTTTTTGATTTGATCATGGTGTATCGATATCGATTGATCTTTTCATTGTTCTGGTCTTCATATGCTGATCCCTCCTCAATTATAACGTTCGAGAAACATCGACCAAGCTTCTCTCGCTCCGAGCTCAACATAGTCCATAGTTCTCGACGAAACTTCAAGGAATCTTTCTCTTCTTTTGTAAGAAGATCATCCCATTTGAGGAAGAACTCTTTATGCTTTGGAGTAAGATGCCTAACTACTTCATCAAACTTCTCCTTCATACCGCTTGTCTCTCCAGTTCCATCATCAGCCAGCTTGTGATAAATGAAACAGGTATTCTTCGCATAACATCTTCCACACATGTTCTCCTTTTTGAGCATTGGTGGGAGTTGAGCATTTTTTTCACGAACAAAACACGCGAGCTCATTCCGCTGCATGATCATGTGGCGAAGTTCATGACGAATGGCAGGAATTCTAATGGTCTCCGAAGTTTCCATGTAGTACAAGATTCCATAAGCAATCTCAACATCATATCGATCAGATATGAGAAGATTGTAAAGCGCTGTTTGTGCACGGTTTGCAACACTGGGATTCTTGCCGGTCTTGACCTCAAAGGGTGCGGTGAGAGTTCTTTGCCCCTTTTCGTCTCTCATTGTGATTTGTACCGTAGCATCAATGTTACCTTTGAGACCATACATCGGAGACCAAACATGCTCCTCAACATCGAGAAGGTTACTGACACACATAGCCACAGCATCACCATTGCCAGCTTTTACTAGAGCTCCAGGCTGATGAACCAGGTTAGTATTCGGTACGGAAAATGGACTTTTACATACCTTTGGTTGGGACGACACAAACAATTCTGCCCATGCTTGTAATTCTCCCATTTTACTATGTAGATATTCTACAGCCTGGGGTATTTCAACCTTGATAACATACAAGTCTTCAAGATGTCTTTGAGCAAGCTTATCAATAAGCTCGCCAAGAAACATCCTATCCCAGCGATTAACAAGCATTGCAGCTTGAAATATCTCATGAAGGATTGTTCCATAAAGCATAGCTGGAGATGCTTCACCAGTGGCTTTGACCCTATCTTGAAGAACTGCACGACGAGTACACCCGAAAGAATCCGCTACTACAAGCGCAGAGATAAGATGGTCCGGGTGAAGAATGATCAAGCCAGAGTTATCATCTATGATACAAATTCCCTGTGCATCAAACTTGC